ACCAGACGACGAGGAAACCTGATTGAAACGACCCGTGAGTGTTCTTATAATACCTTTCTTTTCTGGCCCGTGATTTGGGATTGAAATGTTCGTATGCGACGACGAATTTTAAATGGGTTATTGCGCTTTTCTAAACGCCAGCGAAGGGAGTTTATTACGCAAGCGGGTATAATCCACGTACGGGTTTTACAGGACGAAGACATTTACGAGATTTGCGTTGAAAAGTGATGTTTCATCAATCTCGTATTATTGAAGAAATGCAAGTAAAACTAACTACATGACAACAAATAATGAGCTAAGACAAACTATATTCACATATCTAAGCGTCACAAGTTGGTATGTGGGTATAAATAACTTGATCAATATTAAAAATATCTCTTTTCCAGTGATGCTACGTTCTGGAATCTTTATCATCAAAAACTTTCTAAAGCTGAGAAGTAATTTTAAGTGGTTGCGAAAATAATTATTCAGATTAATTTATTTTGTTGATTTTCTTCGAAAATGTTTCGAAATAATCAAAATACTACAACAGGATACGCAATAAACTTCTTCAAATTCCAAGCATTACGTTTAGTTTTTTTTTTTAAATATTCATGTAACTAGCAGAATTAGAATTTATCTTTTGTAATGCTGCGTAAGAAAAATGATTTTGTGTATATTCCTACTGAAATAAGCTGCAAAAGATAAATTCACCTGTCGATTCACCCATACACTATGCCTTCAACAAAAAACAGATGGAAGTCTCCTGCATATGTAACCAACAAAGTGGTAACTAAATTGAATAATTATTATCACCTCGATGTCCATGTAGTATATCTCGTAGCAATTACTTTAATCGGAATAGTTTCTTGATTAATTACAATCTCGTCCCAGCACATTAATTCTGCATCAAGTAAAAATCCAGCCTGATAGTATCACTCTCTCGCAGCATCTCGAAAAAACGAAAATTCGAGATCAACAAAAGATAAATCGAAGGCGAAATCTATAATTCAAAACGTTCGGAGAGACGTTACCATTGAGAGAGCTCGCAAGATGAAAAATAGGATAATTGTACAGTTATTCAAAAGCTGAAATCTAGAGTGGTTCTCTTTCTCTCTCTCTCTCTCTCTCTCTCTCTCTCTCTCGGCGCCAGGAGAGAAGTTTAAGGTTTCACACTCGCGATCGTGTTTGGTTCGGATGTATATACGGCAGCGCGCACGCAAAAATATCGCGAGCCCTTTGTTTTTCGCCGTGTTTTAAAGGTGGGCGGCGCCTTATGCAATTTATTTCTCGGAAAACGGGGGAGAAGGAGGAGGAGGAGGAGGAGGCACGTACAAACTGGCCCTCTCGCGCGCACGCGCTCTCGCGCCGATCGACTGCACCGCCGGCGCAGTTTCACTCGCGCGCGAGCGCGAAATATTAAATTTCGCGAAAATTGGAGAGGAGACCTCCCGCGGTATATGAGGCTTTACTTTAAACGTCTCCCTCTCCCTCTCGATCGCGACCTCGTAAACGTCAATCACGCGAAAGCCGAGGCACGACCGTTTCTTCTGTCTGTCTGTCTCTCTCTCTCTCTCTCTCTCTCTCTCTCTCTCTCTCTCTCTCTCTCTCTCTCTCTCTCTCCCTTTCTTGTGGCTCGCGCGCGGACTAATTATTTTTACGCGCAGTTCTAAATCACGATTTACAAGGATATGCGCAAAGCGCGCGAGTCTGCGGTGTAGTGGGTGTGCGCGTGTCGCCGCGTTCTCTTTGTCTTCATAAGTGGGTGTCGGCGGTTGGTTGCATCACTTTTCGAGCAAAGGCCTCCCTTTCTTCGCGATACGATAAATTTCGCCGCGCGACGCTTTTGCAAATGATACACTTGAGCGGACGTGTTAGCAGACAATTTTTTTTCTTCCGTGGTGCTCGCATTGCTTTTTTTTAAATGTTATGTGCCATGGCGCTCTTTGTGCGGGCTTGCGATTTCATAATCTTTCCAGATTTATTTTCATGAAGTATCGTAGGATATATTTTTGTTGGTTGATTTCCTCGTTCGTTCGTAGCGATTAAAGTCATATGAAAGGCCGCATGGGTTAATAAAATATAAATTATTTGACTTATTATTTCATGAACTCTGATTTTCCGATCATCAATTTTCATACCTTTTGTTTAAAAATATTATATTACGTACATGTAAATGTGCTCAAGCTGTCGAGAAATTCTTAACTAACCAAAAGTTACATTAATCTAATGAGCCTACAATGACTTTTACAACAGCTCTGAAATTTTATTACTAGAAGATCAATCAATTTCAGTTCGTCCGCGGTAAACTTCAATTAAATCAACAGTTTCAATTTTGTCTTCGTAGCTTTCACCAATCATAACAAATTGAAAACTATAATATCCAGGGAAATTGAAAAAAAATAACGAATCGCTATAAAGTTATAAACACTCCATAAAAAAAGTTACCTCACAGACAGAGGAGAACCTGGAAATCATAAAAATTGCAAAACGCGTATATATCTTTCCTAGTAAAAACGCTCTATGTACTTTCGTATAAAATTTAATAATACATTTACGGCCGACTGAAGTATATACAGGATATTTTGTACTCTCCGTAGTAGTAGCAGCAGTAGTTAATAAATTTTAACGACAAAGCTGCCTGACACACTAACATGCAGCCACACTGTAGCTTGCGTACGTGTGTAGAAGCAAAAGCGTCGACACACCTCTCTGTCTCTCTCTCTCTCTTCTGACATAGAACACTGCCTCGAATATAAAAGGGGGAAAAAAAAAAGAGAGAGATAAAGGGTCCAATGATCCGAAGGAAGTATAAGGACAGAGCGGGCCTTGCGTATGCAAACACGAATACGAAGTAACGCTTTTACACGGCGGTATATAATTGATTACCGAATGCCTGTTATCAAGTGCTCGCGGCAAAGGAAAAGGAAACGGGCAGGCGCGAGATGGCAAGTCGCGAAAAGGAGACGCGCGCGATCGTCGGTAATGAGGCGCGCATCGACATCCGATCGCATAATAATCGTCGTCTTGCGCAAAGCCGTCGATTTTTTATGTAACACGCTTGTCTCGCTGCCTCGGCGCTTTTACAGTTGCGCTTTCGAGAGAGAGAGAGAGAACAAAGAAGCTCGAGCGCTCGTAAATCGGCCGCCTGTCACTGACCATTTATTGTCTATTGTCGCTAGCTCCAGCGTAAAGATATACGAGCCGAAAAATATCGGCGCGCGCCCGCGAGCCGAAAGCGATTCGGCGGCTTTTGCCCCATTATATTCCACGTACTGCTGCTGTGCTTCGGGCTAATTTTGTAGAAACTTTTTTTTTTTGAGCAGTAGTCGTAGTGGAGAGGTGATTATTTATTAACAGCTCGGTGCTTTTGCAGTCGGGGGAGTTATGAAAGCATTATTAAAATGTACAGAGTGAAAGAGATTAATGATAGTGTTTACGGGGTTCAATAAGTTTTTAGACCCGATATAACTATTTGGCTGGTCGTGTGCTTGGAAAGGAGAATGTCTTTTTCGGCCAGATAAATCAATGCCTCTCGATGCAAGTGCTCTTTATCGTGCGTGTATGTGCCTACGTGAAGTCACTTGATAGATTCGGTCAATATTTTACAGAGCTGATAGGGCTAATTTAGCCGTAAATCTTTGAACATTTTGAAAGAGACATTTTGCTTTAATGGGATGTTGATAAATACAAGTCACCTTTAATTTACAGGTGAAAAATGATAACAGGTTTCGACTGAACGGAGAGATTTTAATAAAATAAAAATTTACAATTTAGTTATGATTGATTTGATTGTCAAAAGGCAGCATCCGACGTTATATTAATATCTGAGATAATTGTATCCTTTAGAAAAGTAAAAATAACACATTGAGCTAAACGCAAACCTGGAAATATTAAAAGTATCATTAGAGCTTGAAACGTTGGTCTAAAAGAACAGCCAACTCGAACACACAAGAGTCTACTTGGTTTGCTTGCCACAGAGAGAACAGTGATGTTTATCCTTCATAAAACTCTCAAGTGCAGCTTGCATAATGACTCTACCCACGGAGCATCAATAGCAGCTATTAATTAAAAGGATTCCAGTAAATAAATTAGTTTGCAGATTCATTGTAATAGAACAAGCACTTATCCATCTAATGAAAATGTATAAGCGCAAAAAGCAACCCCCTTCTCGAGAATCGGAAAAAAAGCAGCCGAGTACACAGCTCATTTACCGGAGCCGATAGAGGATCAACTGGCCGGAGCTGGAGCGTTGCCCGTGAAAAGGCGAAAAACAGTTATCTCGGCTGAACAATCAATATGGGATGTTTTTTTCAGCCTCTCTCTCTCTCTCTCCCTTTGGTGGACTTTTATAACATCGTGACGTGATAAAGAGCGAAGGAGCGGAGAAGAAGCCGAGCAAAAAGGAATAGACGAAATAGATGTTTGTCTCTCTTTCTCTCGCGCGAGGGAAAGGAGCTTTGCCGCTGCTCATGGAGGCACACACACACACACTTGCGAGAAAAGATCGGAAATTCAAGTCCGGGTTGGTAACACGCTCGTTGACCCCTGACGGCTTCTTCCCCGTCACGAAAATCCTTCACATTTTAAAAGCTTGTACACGCCGCGAGTATTTGTGGTCGTTGTTGTCAGGCTTTCGCAGCGCTCGGCTTTTTTTTCCAGCGTTTCCTCTTCGATCTTTGCTGCGAGCGATGACAGCCGAGAGAACTTGAAAAGACTTTTCCTTTATTATTCCCGGAAATTGTGAAAAATGTAGCCACCACAAGAAAAACTGGAGAAGCAATGGATCGAGCATCGATAAAAATCTACGTGTATGACAGGTGTAACAATCGCGAATCGATCGCACCCCGCAGCTCACGACGTCACAAAAGAATTGTACAACATTTATCATTAAGCGCGCATACATCCAAAGTTGATAAATTACTCGCTCGACAGCTCCTCGTGAGCGTTAGTGCAAAACGTTGCAATTGTCCGCGGCGATATCGAGCAAGTCATATAATTGCGTTCACTTATCAACAAGGTCAATATCCAACGGGTTGCCAAGCCGCCACGCGCACTCGCTGCGAAGTATCGTTCCAGCGCAAGTCCTTCTCAAATGAACGATAAATATAGTAAATCATGGCTACGAGATTAGGAGCGGCCACCTTGCTCGCACTCGCGTTCGCGCGATTCACAATCGTAAGTTGAGTCGGATCGCGGCCGGCTTGTCGCTCGCCTCTTTTCATCGCCTCCGAAAATCTGCCTAGGCACTCGAGTATCGCAGCAAAATGGTCAATCAGAGGATCAGCTACTTCGAGAATGCCTACTTGGACGTGGACGTCAAGTTTTACGGCGACGAGGGCTATCCGTACTTGACGATGCTGGAGGACGTCACGCCTTACAACGACCTGCACGTGAGTTGTTCCGCTCGGACATCAGTGGAGGGCTACGAAAATGGTCAGACGCGCGGAAATCCGATTGTCCACAGCTGATGGTGTTCGCGAGAAGACTCGACGGACAGCCGATACTGTTCTCGCGCTCCCCCGTCAGCCTGTGCCAGCTGCTGCACGACGCCAGCGCGGCCAGCAGCGAGGAGTACCTGTCGTCGCCGATGGCGCGATTCGGCTTCCCGCAGATTTTCAATTTTAACGGGATGCTCTGCCCGATCGAGCAGGTAAGCGACCGCGCGGGAACGGCCGGACGCGCGATCGTTCGCAAAACCGACCGACGCTCCAACTTCACAGTCGACGATCCGCCTGTCGCCCTACGTCTTCCCAGCGAACTTCACTTTCGACGAGAGCCTCGGCTGCGGTTACAGGATCGTCGAGGCTCGCCTGATGAAGTGCGCCGAGGAAACGACCGAGGGTGTGCGCGACTGCGAGACCCTGCTGAAGAATGTGCTGCACGCCTACGTCGAGCACGAGCACTGTCAGAGCGATGCCCAGGACGGCGTGCCCGAGTCGGAGGGCAACTGGATCCTCGATAAAGTCGTCGAAGCGATGAAGACGTTTTGACGCTTCGCGTCCTTTTAGTGGCGCTTCTTCGACGTAGAATCGCCGTAGAAATTCGAGCGCAAAGTTCAATTCGAGCACGGCCACGGCACGAGAGAACAGTAAACATACCAAAATGTATCCACACGATTGTTCAATAAACTTCAACTTTCCCGAGTCGTAGCAGTTCGGTAAACGACGTTAGTCCAGAGATGTACGAACGCTCGTCTCGACGAGAGGCAATAGAAGGCGCCAGCGACTAGCACACCGACGCTCGGGCGTTCGATCGTGTAGCAGAGCGCGCTATTTTTGGGACCCGATGGTGTATGCACGAGTGATCGGCATGCCTCGTCGCGGCGTCAGCGACGAGCCGTTGAACCGTAGCGATCGCGAAACGCGCCCCAGAGCGATCTCCGTATGGAGCTGCCCGCGACGAAAAATAAATGAATAAATAAATAAACGAGGCGAAGCCCCGTGCCCTCCCCTAGCATAGACAATCCGTTCTAGGAAAAGCTGCAAACGCGCCGGTGGTATGCGATAAAAGTGCAGCGAGCGCACCGCGCACGAGAGCGTTTTACTCTAATTGGCCCGACGCGCGTCTAATTACATGATAATATCAGCTTGGACGCGAAAGCGCATATACTCGTCATTATATGTGCGGCTAATACGCGCCACTGCTGCGCGCTCTTCAATCCGTTTTGACTGAAATGGCGCTGCGAGATTAGAGCGCAAAAAGACTCGATGTTCCTTCCGAGAAGGGAGAAAAGAGGGATAGCGCCGGTGTGCCGCTTTTCGGCGCCGAGCGATCGCGCGAGCGCCGAGCTTGTAATTGGCCATTGCGCGTACGGAAGCGCTCGCGCGACTGGAAAATGATGGACGATGAAGCGAGCCTCCTCTCGTCCCTGCGATCGCTGGCCGAGCGGACGCATTGCGGATTTCGTTGAACCACGACGAAACAGCATAGTCAAGTTGTATATGTCGAGAGCACTTTTTTTGCGTATGGGCGCCCACCATTCTTTAACGGTGGACTGTCAGTCGAGTTATCATCGTCGCCGAACGTCCTAGCAACCGAAAGACATAAGCTGTCGAGGGCCGACCTTCGCTCGTGGCTCGCGGAGCCGCGGGACCATCTGTCGGCGAAAGGTCGATTCGTAATTCGCGGACTGCCCGGTACGGCTGCTCGCAGCACCACGACTCATTTCGCAAAACGACTCCTTATCGAGAGACGGGCGACGCGTCGACAATGTCCTTTCGGAAACTACTTCGCACGCCGAGGCCTGAAACAAAGTGCTGCGGCGGGTTTCGTCGCGAACGAGCGACGCTTGCCTCGGCAAGACGTTGGCGCAATGGTACACCAGCCGACGAGAAGGTCGCTGCGCGCTAAAAGAAAAACTCGGTCCGCTATATTGTCGCCGTAAAAAGGCGCTGATGCATCACTCCATTTGATATAAAGCGCGCGCAAGGATGTGTACAGTTGCATTGTGTTCCAGTTGCGCTAAACAAACGTATGTGCGCGCGAACCGTCTGGCTCTAACAGTAAACGATAACGATTACTGTTACGAAACAGCGAGCCGGCGCGAGGGAAACGCCAATGCGAATTTGGACGCTGGGCGCAGCCAGACAAACGATTCCGATTTCCGAGCCGAATCGCCCTTATTAATAACGGCCGCGCGATTTTTCGGTAAAACTCGCGTGCCGATCCCGGCGGTCATTTCTCAGGCTCGCGCGCGCCAACGAATGGCCGATCCGCGTGGCGGCGCTCTCGAAAAGTAAGCGCAATTGAATAGCCGACAATTCGAACGCATCAATTGAATGGCTCGGCGCGTATGTGCGCGCCCGCCTTACTTTTCCGAATGATCGCGCTTCGTCAATCGTAATTGCATGGGAATTGGCGCGCCTGATGGGAATATCTGTGATTATTTCGCGTGGCGGGCGAAGCAGCTCTTTATTCGATTTTAAACTTTCGTCTAACGGTCTTTTTGAAAAAAAAAAGAACGAAGAATAAAGAAATAAATAAATGAGAGGAAAAAACGATAACTCCCGGGATGCTTCCTTTGCACGCCCGATGGGTTTTAAACCAAGCGTGTTTACTCAGCGTAATTACGGAAAATGATACATGTACTTTGCATAATCAAATTTACGACGATTTTCTTGTATAATATTTTGCCGCCCCGCGGCTAATGAAATGATTTACGGTGTTTTTACGCTCGGCTCGCTCTCCCTGCGCGGATGATTATTAGTTTTGCGAACGCGCCTCGCGACTGATTTTTCGCGATCGGAGTTTCCCGACGTGATTTATCGCGTTTCCGGAGCGCGCCCGGACTGGAAGCGCTGCGCACGATAATTCCACGGTGTCGCCCGCGATCCCCAGCGGCGATGCCGCTCGCTGAGGAATCGCACGGGATTCGGCGAACGACGCGCGCTCGCGAGTGGACGCCTGCCTTTCTAAAGAAGCTCGCGAAGAGCCGACTGCCAGAGCGGCGGAGCCGGCCAGCTGCCCGCGCCTTCGACAATGCACAAAGGAAGCGGCGCGTGCCCGGCCGAGCTTTCCCATCGGGCCGTCCGGAGGAGCAGGGAAAGGAAAGGGCCGCGGTGGCGTCGTCGCGCGCGCACTGGAAGCCAAAAGTGTCCTTGGCCAAGAGGCCACGGGGAGACTCGGCAACGCAGCGCGCGCGCGCGCTCGCCAGCGGCGAGCCATGGGGGCGAGCTCGCGCGGAACTTACCGGTTAGTGAGGGCAGCGGCTCGCCTGACGCTCTGCCTGCTCCTGAGGAACCTGGCGACGCTTTGTTCGCTGCCGTTGGCGGCGGCGGCGGCGTGGGCAGCCTCGGCTACGTTCGGTGGCGGTGGCGGCGTGGCGCGCACGGCGGAAAACCACTGCAGCCTGGCGTCCATGGCTCGGCGCCGCTCAGGGCTGCATGGCACGCGAGCCGAGGAGAGCACCAGCGAGCGAGCGGGCGCGCGCGGCGTCGAGCGACAGTACCCGCGGGCAGACGGAGACGGGCAGAGCCAAAGAGACGCTTTCGGTGTGCGGCGCGACGCGGCACTGGCCGCCATACGGCCGACTTTAGCCTTGGGGGCCCTTTCCTCCACCTCCTCCTCCTCCTCCTCCTTCCTGCCACCGGCGCAAGGGGCCCTACGCTCCTCTGCACTCCCACCTGCCTCCTCCGTACTTCTTCTCCTCGCGCGCTCTCGAGCCTTATCTCGGCGGCTGTCGAGGCTGCGCGCGCAGCGCTCGGCCGAGCAGCCCGAAGGGGTCTCTCTCACGTGCATCGCTGCGCCGCGCTGCTCCCATGGCGATGTGTGTGTGTGTGTTCGTGTGCCTCGCCGATTTTTGCGCGCGCGCCGCAAGCGAGCAGCGGCGCTTCGCTTCGCTGCGCTTCGATATGCGACGGCGGCTGCGACGAAGCTGCCCGGCCGCAGCGCTTCGCTGCCTCGCTGCTCTTCACTCCTCGCGACGCGCTCGAGCCGATGATCGCTGCCTCGCGGACGCTCGAGCTTTCGCGAGACACATCGAACACCTCCGTGCGAGGCTGCGAGACACGGCAGGGATTTCCTTTCGCGAGCACGGCCGCAGTGACGCATCGCATTGTCGCTCCTGAAGTTCTGCATCCTTGTCAACGAGAAATCAAAAGGGAAATCCAGTCCACTTGTCATTTGCTTCGCAATATACCTCCGAGCGCGTCCGAATCCTTCCGCGTGTTGCACTCGCGTGCAATTAACCCTTCGTTTTCGCCTCTACAAAAGAAGCCTAATGGACGCGCTCGCGTGCTCTCTCTCTCTCTCTCCTTCTCTCGAATTGCCTTTATACATACGCGCGCGCGGCACTCGGCAAGCGAAGGAGGAAGAAGCCGTGGATTTTATGAGCGTTTGTTCAAACGTCGTGTTTTACTTTGAAGGAAGAAAGGGCCGTGAAGAAAAAAAAGAAGAGAGAACGAGGGAGTCGGGTGAAAATTTGCACGAAGCTCGTAGATTGAATGTTGTTTTCTTTTTCTTCGGGGGTAATTGGACGTCTTGCGGTTCATACATTGTCGACGTGGTTTAGTCGTGCTCTTCCCTCTCCTCTTGATTACGTTGTCCTCTTCTCTCTGCCGCTATATATAAATACACACACACACAAACACACATACACACACACACCTGATGTTCCAATAAATCCTGCTCTAATAATTATAAGTTATCTGATTTCTCTTTCGAGTATCATTTAACGTAATTAATGGCTTTTGAACGCTGCTCGCTCGGCTTACATAAGGAAGTGCTGTTGATACTGCTTCCTTTCATACCTACAGTCATGAGACTGACGATGAGCTGACGATCGTTGAGTGTACTGCGCTGTGGCAGATTTTTTGTACGTTTTTTTATTGAGCATTCTATGAAGCGAAGACGCGAGTTTACGATTTTGTTACTTTTACGAAATAATACGTCACAATCGAAAATGTACAATCATGAATTCTACACAAATACATTTTGATTTAAGTCCATGAATCGTTGGAACATTCTCAATTGTCCAGTTTAATATTCGCGGGATAAAATAAAAGTACGCAATAGTCCAATTCAATTGTCCATCTACCAACAAAAGGCTGTACTTGGAACTGTTTAGTTTTGTCGACGATAATGAAGTAAAAGCCACGTCTTTGAAATGAAGAATGACGCTCGTACGAAACGCCACGCTCTTTCGACAGCGTTCTCAAATCCAAACTGTTGCTACATCGTCCCAACAATAAAACAAAACCTAATTTATCGAATCTAAACATTCACTATCGACAGTGAAAAGCCGTCAAAGCCGATTGTACGAAGATAAATCACTGACGGAAGCAGAACCTTCGTTGAAAACTGCATTGGGAAAAAAATCATAAACAGCTTGGTGCGATACGTTAGCGTCCATTATGCGTCTTCTCATTACAAAATTGCCCCGCGGAAATCGCCTTGAGCACATTTACATCCTGATACACCGGATTTCTTACTTCTCGTTGCACCTGCTCTACCTCGCGCGCGCCAGCTATACATATAGACAGTGCGTGATCTACTCTAACTCTCGAGACTCCTCTTGGAAGCCTATTGTAGAGCGATGGTTGTACAGGAGTCGTACAATGATTGTTGTTCTTTTAGAGAAAGAAATATCAATTGTTACGATTATTTTACAAATTTTTAAAAGTCAAATTTCAGAACTTTTTGTATGCGTAATTGAATGGCAAATGTCAATTCTAATTTGTTTACTTCTATCAAAGATATTATTACTCATCTCCATAGACGTACAATTCTCAAAATTATCGCCTTGATTAATTTAAGTATTGAATTAGTAGGTGGAATATGATTCATATAGTGAATTTGGGTGTCGATCACTCATTACAAACAGACAATGAATTCATTGAATAATTGAAACAAAATCATCGAATTCCTATGAAAATATAAAAAGTAAACATCAAATTTACTTGTACGGGATTTAAAGAACCATCTTGTAACAAAATCATTAACCGATTTCGCCCTCGCAAACTGGAATACGAGAGCAACATCTTTCACTACGGATAATAATGACAATCACTTAAAACATTTACTCAATTCAAAAGTGTTAGCTATACATTTGAAATTGCATGTTTATGGAGGATGATATGCGATTGCATTTGTTACTCCGTGGGTGCAAATAACATTTCACTAACTTAATAATAAGAGTATTTTACAAAAAGCCTTTTATTGAAATTATTTTTTTATTTGCCGATTAAACATTTATAACACGATTTACCGCTAAATTAATTTATATATTCACAACGTAATATACAACTACATTATTAATCACAAAATTTACGTAATCCTTATCTTAACAATTGAAATCTTAAGAATAAATTTTTGGATTGTTAATTTTTGGTTCGAATGTGGACAATGAAATTAAAATGGTTAAATCGAAAAATTCAATATCTTGTATTTCAGTTTTTGCTTTGCAAATTGATGAAACGATGAGTGTTGATGAATGATGGTTTAATAAAAAATTCCTATAAAAATAGTACTTAAAAGATAAATCTAATACGAGCTGAACACTACAAAATAACCCTATTCTCCTTCATGTAACCGCCTGTAATACATCAACATCCTGATACGTCGGATTACTCTTACTTTTGCTATCCCTGTTGGACTCCAACCACGAAGTAATCTGAGCGAAATTGGGTCTTCCCTCAGGTAAACTCGCCCAACACATGTGCATCAATTCTTTCATTTCCATTGGTGCATCTTTCAAAGGCGTCGTGTCCGGACGACCACCTTCTTCCAGCAAATGACGCAGAAGAGCGTCGTCGGAAAAACACGAGTACGGAAAATCACCGAGACTAGCAATTTCCCATAGGCACATGCCATACGACCAAACGTCGCTTTTGTTGGTGAAGGCACGCCGTCGAATCGCTTCCGGTGGCATCCAACGGATCGGCAGACGGCGAACTCCCGCACCGTTCAGCATGTAGGCGCCTTTGCGAGATAGGCCGAAATCGCAGATCTGCAATTGAACGCTCTTCTTAGATGGCAATTGCGCAGGCGGATTAGAATGGCGTCATTACTAAAATTCAAGGTGAACGCAATTTTTTTTTCAAATTTAAGCAACAAAACACGCGAGTATGGTCCAGAGACACAAATTATTTTCAACGTGAACGTCAAGTGTTACGTTAAAAATTGAAAATATACCTTGAGCACCAAATTCTCATCCATTAGAACATTTCTCGCAGCTAAATCTCGATGAACAATCCCGTTCGCCTCGAGATGTTCCATGCCTCTAGCAATCTCAAGTGCGAACCTCATCATTTCAACTTGACTGACGGGAGCCTCGCTCGCGTCAAAACTATTCGACAAATTTTTAGTTTCGATGTCATTGCCGAAAAACACTTTAGCCGTGGTCGCTGTCGCTGCCGATTGACCACTCAAACTCGTGCACGTTCCTGGTGAACAAAGAAAATATTCATAGGTCGTGCCGTTCATGCGTAAACGCGAGGTTTTACGTTCGACGACGACAACTAACTCTCGGCAATGCTGTCAATGTCGGGACCCTCGAGGGAACTATCGTTGCCTAGACCCGAGGAATCTGCAACGTCACGCATTCGGTGCAAGTAACTCAGTAGCTCACCACCCCGCATGTACTCCAATACCAGGCAAACGGGATGCATAGGTATCGTGCTGTAGCCGACCAAGCCGACAAGATGCGGATGAGAACCTGCCATTTTTATGATCGCGATTTCTTCCAGCAGTTGTTGACGTACTTCTACGGGTTAACGATATTATTAGGTGCTTCCTCGTTTCTGCAGCTATCTCATTTTTTTCGCATCAGTGCTTTCAATTCGAAAATCATGTTTGTCAATCAATTTATCCGATGGTTAGGTTTATTATCCTAATCACGTTTGCGATTTCCAAAAAAAAAAAAAAAAAAAACTCTCGATAAAGCATTTAATAGCAACCACGAATTTATATAGATAAAATCAAGTGCAAAACATTGGTTCGTGTACGTGAAAACTTGCCGACCGTGTATCCCCCTGGTGACTACATTTGCCAAATCATTAATGAGCGTAGAGTGGTTAAATGGAATGATATCTGGTATCGAGCCACAAAAAGACCGCGAAACCTTTCTTAACTATGAATTACACGAGCAAAGTATGAACTTTCCAAAAGAGGCTCTCTTACGTAAACTGTGCCAACAAGAAAAAGCACTCGGTAGAGATAGCGCAATTAAGCGTCTCAAATGACAAGGCAAGAAGTCATAACACGTGCGCGTACACCGAGAGAGCTGCATTTACCTAATTGCGAGTCGAGGGACGTTTTCACAGCGACGAGGTTGCGTCGCTCGCTGCTGCAGCCAAGTAGATCCGCCAGATAGACCCTACCGAATTGGCCACTGCCAAGCTCACGGACCTCTCGTAGCCTCGCGTAGCTGATCTCCAGAGGGTCGACGCTCTTAAAGTCCTATACGCGACACAGATTTGTTCGCCGGATTAAGGCAACGCTGCTGCGTGCGCGCGTGTGGGAGAGTTGTAAGCTCACCTCGGCGCTCCGCTCGGCATATAGAGAGTTGTTGTTCCGCAACAGCGCTTCGATTTTGGAATTGGATAGAACCGGGCCTAGCGCTCTGGGGAGAATCTCCATAACGTTGATTATCGCGGCTTCGAATTTGCTGAGAAAGCGCAACACTGACCTTGCGCGCTTCTGCCCGAGCGCGACGAGCTTATACTTGTGACTCCTCGCCAGATACTTGACCAAGTGATAGATTCCGCTGATCGACGCCAGAGTTACGACCATCGCGGCGAAAAACAGTGGCTAAAGGAGCGCAACGTGCGTCTCGTTATTAAGAGTTTACACGCGCGCAGAGTACGCGCGAGCGAATGCTTACGGTGGCGTTTTTACGGTAGAAAGAAGTGTGTCTCGGGCGTTTCGTCTCATAAGTGCCTGCTTTGCCCGAACACCCGTAAGAATCTCTCGCGGTGACGAACATTTTCGTGCCTTTCTTTGGCTTCTCGACTGGCTCCCACAGGTACAGCGTCTCGTTGTCAACGCTGCTCGTGAATATTTTTGTCTCGTTGTACACCGTTAAACCGCTCGATGACGTTAGACTTGGCACACCGATACTACGATTTTCGAAAAGGAAAGAAAGTTTGTTGCTTGTTTTTTTTTTATCGGGATCGATCGGCCACATCCGATAGTAATGAGACGATTCTTTTCCCCTAATTAGTTGTTATTGAAAACAAACGCGATTGTTCCACGAATGAAACGCACTTATCGACTTTAATCTCTCTCTCTCTCTCTCTGTGTACTCCATTCGAAAACCATGTCTGTTTGTTCTGCGCTTCAATCTGTGGCTATTATATTTCAAGGATAGAGATTATGACTTTTACTTTTTGTGATGTTTAGAGGTTACCGTTGGATGTAGTTTTACTCAATGAATTATTGTTCGTCAAATTGGAATAAAAATATTTGCCGTTATTAACTAATGATTACTAACTTTGTGTATAACATAATAAAAGTGATAAAAATCACACGAGCCATGCCACTCTTAATTTCTAATAAACAACAACGCGCTTCGATGCAGAAAATGTAACATATTTCTTTGTAAGCGCATATAGCATTTAGTCAAAAAAATTGTTGCAGCCTTGATTGTGAAACTGGCAATTAACTATAAAGTCATAAAATACAGTCAGCCGGACTGCCTACAAAAGAACGTCACCGTATTTTACCCAACTATGCGATCTCCAATAATCGGTTATATGTATACTGCACGATAACCCTTATCACTGGGTGCAAACAATTAAAACCTTGGTCAAAAAATAGAAAAGAAATCGTCCGATAATGTCTACCTCTGTCGACGCGAAATTTTTATTTTTTCGAGCTGTACAATTACCATAATCGCGCGCGCGCGCAAAAACAAGAACACGTTATATTGTTTAACTCTCGCAGTGGGGACCCGTTACGAGTCTTTTCCCACAGTATAATTCTTGCAAAGCGCACCAACACAACGCTCTCTCACGAGTCTTACCTAATTTCGTAGGACTTGACGAGCGACAACGACGGCGACGCGGGATCCACTTTCCAGGTGATCAAAGTGCTGCCGTTGCTCAAACTCCTGGCTGTGACCCTCGGGGTCGGTAGGATGTCCATCGATTTGGCGCAGCTGCAGCGCTTGCCTACGCACTCTGGCACTGCGTATGTTACCTACGATAAGCGATTACTTATCACGTGTTTACGCGAAGCTCGTGCATTGTTTTTCATAGAGAGCTCCACGAGATCAACAAGGAAAGAAAGAAAGAATCACACGAGTTTATCTTTGCATACAACAATGGCGATATGTCGCATAAAAATTATCCGCAGATAATGGATCAAAAACTTTCCGTCATTATTCGCGTTAATTACATATTATACGAATGATGGCGTGAACATGATCCCATGTTGGGACATCTTGTTCCGCAAACTCAAATCAATTGAATGATAACGACGACAATTAATGTCTAACATTAGATATTAGGTATCCGGTTTGTAATAACGTCGAGCGAAAATAAGAGAACCAAACCGATGGGGCATCTTCGGCATCACGTCCGCTTCTTGGATTAGCAAACACTTGAATTTTGTACGAGCATCCAGGTTCCACGTCAAGTTCATCGGCGGCATCTTCGAGGAATCTATTCTCCGGTAGTAGCACATTCGTTTGATTGATACTGTCGCCAACGTAGAAAATTGAACCTTCACTGCAAACACTGTCGTTCGATCGGACACTCGTCACTATCGTGCTACAATAACGATGATTTATTTCATTATCGACTTGAAGCTTGTTCAATTTACTTTATCGATGTTCGTGGAAAATTTAACGCGGGATCGATGTTTATCGATGTCAGTGCTCGCTTATGTTAGAAAAAAATGCCCGAGATCGTTCTATTCTATCAACATCCAAAGGCGTCTTTTGATGTTTCCAAATTGAATTAAACTCTGCGTTAACAATCGTCACTAATCATACGATATGAACCGACAGTTTTATCGAGCTCACGCTAAATTTTTACATCCACCTAGCGCCAATGCCAAAAAGTTTCACTCGCGAGCAATGCTTCGCAGTATCAAAATTCGCGCGACTGTCGTCGCGTGAATAACGAATGGATAACAAACAAAACATTTGCAAGATACGACACTATTCGCCCGAAGAAAGCTAAAAATAAATGCCTCAATGTAACGCATCAACATTGAATCTCTCGCACGCGCATGAGATAAAGAAGGAGCCGACCTAAAAGCTCGCGCACCGACATCAAATCTCAAATAAAAAAAGAAATAATCTCCTGTCGCCACCGGTAACGAGCGTGCGCGATTTTTCGCATGAGATAGCCGCGCACAAAAGAGGGCGAAAGAATCACTCGCATCCTCGGCAAAGATTGCGCGCACTCACCTATAGAAACTCAACGTACTGGTATCATCGGGTGGTAGCCACGACACGTTAAATTTGAGCCGCTTGCCTCGGTCGACGTTAATCAAACTAACACTCAAGTTTCTCACATCAGCGACGTCTAAATGTTGAGAAGCTGGAGGCGCAGGAACAAGAAGACTCGTCGCGGTCGCCGCCACGATGGACAACACAACGGTCAGCCATCTCATGTCACGACAGCTTGTTCGGCACTCGCACGCGACACCCAATGCAATCAGCTTCTCTTTTCTCGATTTATTGATACGTTACATCTTATCATGTGAAGCCCGCGACGGAGATAACACATCAATCGTGCGTATTTACGCGCCTTATATATTTACTCCGCGGTCGAAAAGATAAGCGGCTACCGACGTTACTGCTGGCGTGGTTACTGCTCGAAAGAAATCGGCGATTGTTCGACGACTAAGAGTATTTGTTTTCGACGATGATAAAGTACAGTTTAATAGATGTTTCTGAGAGGGGGCAAATAAACGGAGAGGTGGTTTCAACGTTGCTAATTATAAATATTTATTCAAAAAAACTAGTACACGAACTTTTTTCTTTATAAATAGTTGTTTTTTGAGTAAGATTGTTATTTACTTGTTTATTTACTATTATTCTTCGCGGTAATTACTGATTAAATTCATTCAGCGACTAGCATCATTCCGAAATGAGTTTTTTGCTCTCTAATCCGGATACGACCTTCAAAAAATTATTTACATATAATCAACGAAATTTACAAAATTTACAGTTAGTTTAATTCATATACTTTTATAGTTATCATACATATTTGTTGTTTTTTTTTTCTTTCTTAAGATATACGATTATACAGTTGAGTCATTAATATATTAAGTATAATATTTCAGTCTGTTAAATATTTGAAAATAACTATCTAAACGGTTAGCTAAGTATCTTTGAACGTTTGATCAAAAGTATAGACTATTTTATTAAGAAAAAAATTGTGTTAGTTTTATTTTAGTGTAAGTTAACAACGTATTCGAAATTGTAATTATTATTAAATTTCTTAGTGTTATATATAATATTCAACAAATATGAGATCTGAACTTCAATCGCTTGTCGTTTCCTTTTTTGAATATTTGTTATGAATATCATACTTTTTAGAGTATTTATTAGTTAATCTTGTGAAAATAGATTAGATTACTGAAAGATATTAAAAAAAAATCTTGGTAAATCGTGAAAAAATTGCACTAATGGATGCTTTGAATTTCTTAACGATAAAAATTCATTTTACCTAGCAGTAGTTCATTTTGCTTATTAGAGTATTTGTACGGTAAAACAAAAACTCTGTCAAAAGAGATTGGCATACAATCACAGAAGTACTCAAAAATTGAAAAAGTTTAAAAGCAAACTCTGCCGCATGAATATAACAGTCACGATTATTCATAAACTTAACCATCGGAGACCATATGCTTCACATTAATATTTAAACAAAGACAAGAGCAATGATTTCAATTATTTGTAACGTCTTTGGTCATATCCTTAAGGATCCGCGATAGACACAAAGGGCAAACAGTTTCTGGTTTGTACGACTTATAAAGAATTGAGCCCAATAGTTGTGCGGTCGAGGGTAAAGGTGACTGGAAGGAAAGAAGATCAGCTTCCATTCTTGGCACTGCCTCAGAGCGATAATTAGAAACAAGGAAATTATGACCACATGTGAAGATCATTGAATCTTCTTCAGCGGCGAATAATTCGGATATTTTATCTGGATCCTGCAAAAGAAAGAATATAAATTACGTTTTCGACAAACAAACAAAAAATTACAGAGGAATTGATTTACCTTAATATGTATGAAGGGTCGAGGGTCATAATACTTTGCAGATAATGTACTAAGGATTCCTTCCAACATTTGCTCGGGCGTTTTATTTTCGCTGGTTCCGGGATAACCAGTGAGCGGAGGACCGTAATTATTCGATATTGACATTGATAACATTTCTATATATTCTACAGATGGTTTTTCTGTAACGTTAATCGTTGTGTTTTAACAGTCAAACAATGCCATAAATAAAAAGTATCAGTACACCTAAACATACCTTCTTGAATGTGTTTCAAAATGAGAGAGCAAACCTTCAAAACAAATCCAGTTGTTAATACTTTTTCGGCATTCTTGACATGAATATTTTTTTCGTTCTTTTCGGAAATTGTACTATTTTGAGAATCTCGTTTACTGCAAAAATATTAAATCATACACACACACATATATATATATATATATTTATATATGTATATATATATATATATATATATATATATATATATATATATAAAATTGTCCTAGATCAAATATTTAACCAATCAAATCTGAATAATTACCCAAAAAGAAGAAGACCAAGTGCGTAATATATCTTACTCATATATTTCTTGAAAACCTTTTCAAGCTCTTCAATGGGAAACTTATTTTCCACCCAAAAATTCACAGCAACAGCCGCCATCTCATACATAGGTATACAAGCGTCATCTTCAACCTCGTGCAAGTAGAAATCAACGATATTTACAGCATGTTGCATCACAAGTAAATCTTGAGAACTCAATATATTCTCATTGACGTAATTAGACCTTTTTTCTAAAGATGTTCCTAGACTGAGTTTATTATATTCGGAGCACAATGAATTCTCATCGATTTCCTCGTGAGACGTGATATCTTCAGTACTAGTAAGCGGACTATCTCTGTCTTCTTTATTGTCAGTATCATATGGTTCTTCCGTGATAGGCACACCACTAAATTTGGTGTCTTCGAAAAGATCCTCGGAACCTCCTTGATCATCGAAAGTGTGCAACTCTTGCTCGAGGGTATGAAAACTATCTAATGATTTACTAACGGGCATTTTCAGTTTTTGCTTGTTCACACTTTCGATTAAAGTATCCTCGAAGTTTCGCTCTAGTTGCTTTTCAAACAGCTTACTATTCATTTTTAAAGCGTCGTTATCTTGATCACCACTTTCCACATATGAAATGTCATCTAATGGCTTCAAATATGCTAAATCGCACTCTTTCAGAGCTTTCAATTGATAGGTAAGCGCTTCTACGAAATTATGCTCCAAAAGTTCGATCTTTGCACATGCTTGATAATTTTTGAGCTCGAGACACTGTACAGAATTCAAATTCAATATTTATTTATTTCATAGACACCACATATTAATATTATTCACTGTATGTTGCTTACAAACCTTGTTCAGAATTTTATAACTGCCGAACAATTCAAAGAACTGCTCCAGTGAGTAATGCAAAGACAATTCACTGAGAGTCGATTCAATATAGCTCAACGGTTTCACAGCTCCAGCAAGTGGCGTAACGTCGTAACTCTGGTACGAGATCGTCGGGGCAGGAATGTTCAGAACGCTGCTGGGTTTCGCATCTACGACAGTTAACCTGTCGGAATGGTTGATTGTACGGATAATGCGTTTGAAAGATTTAAATTTAACGACAAGCCTTTGACCGTCAGTGTCGTTGGGATTGATTGGAGGTCGACCTAATTGAGCCATATTATTGTTACCCCAGGCCAGAACGTTTCCACCTGAAAAATGAGTTTGTCTTGTTTAGAAATATCGACAGTCAACAACCTTTAATATTGCTATTAGAATCATAACGGACATCATTGCATTGTAATCCAATTTATTATCAAAAATATATTTTATTACTGTTCTAATTAATCTAAAAAGAATATATAGCCTTAGAAATATAAACTTATTCAATAATTCAAATGGAGCACCTAGTGAAAAGAATAGAAACTATTTCAATGTCGATTTGACAATTTCAGTTATAATTTTCCAATCATAAGTAACGATCATATTTTTATTAACATTATCAAACCAACTAACTTAAAAATTTTATAAATTAAAACATTTATACAAAAAGTAACAAAATATTAAAAAATAGCAAAACTATGTTATCACACCTGGTTCGATAGCAACAGTAAAATTACTGCCACAGCAGATTTTCACAGCTTTCAGCAACTGGCCAAACTCCTTCACCTCTGAGTTTCCATTTTCATTTGCATTGTCCTGATCGTCGTCTGTTCTTTTATTAGTTGACTTCTTGCTAACAAAATTTAGTCTCTCATCGAACAACGGCTCAGGAATATACACATCTCGACTCATTCCAGTGCCAAGTTGACCGTCAAGATTACGACCCCAAGTACAAATTGTTCCGTCTTTTGTTAACAACGCTGAATGGTAATAACCCGTCGATATCTATGAAAAAAGTGACCGAATTAATTTTCTTGCATACATACAAATATAAAAAATTAGAAAAATAGAAAATTACAAAATTATATTATTTCCTTACCTGCACAATTTTGCCACGAACTAGACTCGTATCAACGAGTTCAGGCACTAAATGCGCGCGATTCTCTTCGCCGATATCCAATTCCGGAATAATGACGGGCCTTTTAATTTCATCCGCCGACGTTTCTGCAGTTGTCTCATTTCTGCCGCCGCCAGTTTCATTTTCTTCAGTATTCGCAGCTTCCTCTCTCGCGGCTATTTCCTTTTGAATGGCCTCAGCGACCGCCGCTTTGGCCTTTTGAAGTCTAATCTTTCGCTCCTTTGATTGCAATCTTAACGCTTGGGGATTTGCTCCCCAGACATACAGTTGATTCGTACAGCTGATGGCAAGCTGTGTATCCAAAAATTTTATGTTTTTGTTTATTTGATTGTTTGTAAGATATTGAATCAATGTATTTAAATGATCCGTACATATATTTTATAATGAAAGCATGTTATTTAAATCTCATTTAAATTTACCATATAAGCATAATACTTACATTATGGAAATACTTGGTGGAAATCAGTGTAATTCTCTCAGATAGCAATGAAACTTTCATCGGTGCTGTACACTTATTTTCATGCCCCAAACCAAGTTGTCCAAACGAGTTGCATCCAAAAGCATAGACATAGCCATCGGCGGATAACGCGAGAGTATGAGCATAGCCTGCACTCACGAACCGTATTACAACACCAAGAAGATAGGAAACTAGAGTAGGTTCACGTTTAGCTTCGGTATTCCCATGACCTAGTTGTCCGTGTACACCCCAACCCCAGGTAAAGAGGCGACCGTCTGACGTTAATGCTGTTGAATGGTGTTGACCTGTCGAGGGAGAGTTGAAGTTAACAAGAACAAATTTACTTATTTGTGAAATTTAGGTAAATGTGATAAATTTAAAAATTAAATTACGAATGCAACGTAAAAGGTTTCTTGGCATTGATTGTTCATACTATAATTCAAAAAAATTGATGTGGAATGAGTGAGTCCCTCTCAAATTAAAAAAAAATTCACTTTATAAACGATATAAATGATTGTTCAAACCATTTTCACAATAAATTAGCCAATAGGGCGCAAATTTGGCTTTTCGAATCTTGAAGTATGATATCCAGTAAAATATCCATCATTGAATTAACTTTAAAAATGCACTTATTTGTTTATTTATTTTGCAGATAACAAGGGAATGTGCGTAATATAACGGTACTCATAAAATAAGATATTAAATTATGGAAAAATGCTAATTCATGTACGGTAAATATTTATACTTATGCCTAAGTAAAGATATAAAATAAAAAATTTATGCAATGTATTTTATTGATAAATTCATTTTTTTACTTAAATGTAGAATTAATAAGAAATTTTAACAATATAAGTAAACTTTTCAATTGATACAATAATTACTCACCAGCGACAGCCTCGACAATAATTTTCTGAGCAAGAGCAGTAATCAATTCCGGATTAGGACATTGATGTACGTCACCTAGTCCAAGCTGACCATATTTGTTATTGCCCCAGGCGTAAACGCCATTGTTGGTAACGGCAAGGGTATGACATCGACCACACGAAACTGAGAGAACTTCGATGCCAAGTCGACGGAAAATGCCGATACTTTGTGGTAAGCTATAACGAGATATCGTTGGTCCTGTTCCTGTAAAAAGTGAAAAATAAAAATTATAAATCGTCAATACACAATATAAAATTGATTTAACGTACCAAGACAGCCTTGTATCGAAGTTCCCCAAGTATAAACGTTACCATTTCGGATAAGAGCTGTGTGACCGAAGCCAACACTGAGTAGTCGTCGCTTGAAATTCACACTGAGATTTTTTTCTTGTCTACTCTGCTTGAAAATTAAACATGAGTTATGATTTTTAAATGAAAAAATTTTTTTTACGATATTTCAACTTACCCCTTCAATATCAGACAGTTGGCTGAATGGCACATATTTTGAAATAAATTTGACGCCTGGCTGCCGTTTATGAAGTATAGTTACGAGAGTTTGTAGAAATACTTCGATTATCTCTTCCATAAGTACATTTATTTCGTCCTACAAATGAAAAAAAGGTATTAAATTAAGATTATATGAATTTTTAAAATAAGAAATGATGCATACCAATTCCTCAGACAAATCTAAAGAATCACACTGACTGGAAAATGAACTACGAGACGCCTGTCTCCGACGAGCTGTGAAGCGCAAAAGTAATGGCCTTATTGCAGGATTGGTCGGGTCGTATAGTGAAGTTAATCTCTGCGTAATCAAGTTAAAATTAACATTCAAAAAATGCCACCAAAAATAAATTCGAAAGAATTGACAGCACCAACTACCTGTAGAGTAAATATCTGCAAGGCCGGTAAATTTGCTATCACAAAACAAATGTGATTTCTAGCAACGATAGGATTGTTAAGCATACCCTGAATCAAGTTCGAGTCACTCAAGCACATCAATAAGCCATCTAAGATACAACAAATTACACGATTTAGTGCTTTTTTATTCTTCGTCAATTAGTATTTACTCACGAGTATTTTGGTTTGCGGTGAGATTTGAATTTTTCAACATGAAATTCGGCAAAGCTTTTACAAGAATATCCAAAACTTGTGACCCCAAACCTCGGCGCAGTATTAAGTGATGTAATATACTCCACATGTTGGTTTGTATCGCTATGTTGATAGTGTAGAGTTCGTCGTAAAATATATTTGTGGACAAAAAGTTCCTGCGTACAAAAATCTTGTTACCAAATGATGCAAGTACGGCAAATATTAACAAAATTTTAATGCTTACAAGAAATCTTTGTGGATAGTTTTATTTGGAGTAGACAACGCTCTTAGCGAAAGCTCCGTGAATGCAAGGACACTTAGATTAGAAAAGTGTATTCTATTTGATTCCGACAATTCATTAACGGCAGACGTTGTGGAGTAAGATACAAGACAGCTCAAAAGCTCTGTCGTGTACCCAACTGAGGCAAACTTTAAAATACTTTTGGGAAGACGACACTAAAAATACAAGGTCAAATATTATGAGTAATAAAATAATTTTTTTCAATTCGAAATGACTTACCCCAGCTAGTGCATACAATTCCATAGCTTTACCAAATTGTTTATTGCATAGAACCATATCACCAGCATACTCAAACAATTGTTGCACATTTAATCCGAAAATCAGCCCTAGTTTCGTAGCATCTTCTACTGCTCGTCGTTTAAATATCAAATCCATAAACAGTGTTAAAATATTATCTCTGTGAAAATTATTACAGTTAATGCTTTTGCAGAAATGCTAATCTAATATCTTACACTTGCAACCAACCTTAAAATAATCTTGTATATTCCATGATTGGTAACTACTACGCAAGAATCTACCGTTGGTATACGAACTTTGAGATCAGTTATATTTTTTGCTATATTATACGTTCTAATTTCACCATGCCCTGTCGCATCACCGTCCTTTGTACAGGTCAACATGTATATATTATTTATAACTTCGTCGCTTTTGTCGAAGGAGAATCTTGCAATAATTGAGTCCTTATTGAAATCAGATTTGTCCTTTTTTCGAATTTCAGACAATGGGCGAGAAACTATGTAAACAAAACGTTGTCTAGTATCGGAAATATATAAAAACCTATTTGTTAAAAGAACATTTTCACTTTGTTCTGGTACTTTGTGAGTATGTGCAGGAGTTATTGAAGTACTACGGTCGTGAATCTAAAAAGAATTAGATATGTAAATTTGTAAATTATTATAAATATTAATGTTATTGATTTAAAAAATTTATGACTTACAGTTAAGAGGTTTACAGAATGAAGATAACGACTATAAACAGTTCTACCATTTTTCAATGGGTGAGGAGTTATGTACATGTCATTGGGTATTGCAATAGGTTTGGTGCTACACTTAACTGGATTAGACCGCTGATTATTAAAAAGCCCCATATCAATTGAATTATCACTATCACTTGATTCAGTTTCATGTTTTTCATTACTGCTATTGTCTAAAAATTCTCATAAAAAATGTTGATTATAAAAAAATATAAAGTATATTTGTTTTGAATTTGTTTTCAAAAATTACCTGGAACAGTTTTGGAAATATCAAGATTTCGATTTCTTGTCTCAGCAAGTTTCTGCTTCAGTATCACAAGTTTTTCCACTGACAATTGTTTCAACCCTCTCAATCTCGATCTAGTAGTAGGAAAAGTTCTAGAATCATCATTGTCTGTGTCATCACTTTTTGATGATCGAGGTGAGCCATTATTGAAAGGATATGTGTAGTTATTTGCTGGTTTTTCCAAAACTAAATGCCATTGTTCTCTACTTTGATTTGTGATTAATAAAGTCACAGTATCAACTTCTGAATCTTGACAAATGGAGAATCCTTTTATTTTTCCTTCTATTTTAGTAATACCAACTTGCTGGCCAGTTTCTAAATTAATAAATACTATTTCTCCCTGCTCAGTGCCTACAATTCCTATTTGGGCGGAAAATGATCTACCTTGCCACCATATCAATGAACTTGGTCTGAAACAATAAAATAAAAATATTTAATACACATATTCTTACAATATAGTAATTATTCAATCATTTACATACCGAGAATATGAGTTCTGAACATTCAGTGAAGAAAAAGATGTAACATCTTGAGTAGTCCACTTTTGATCTACTGGATAAGACTCATCAACGAGTGTTTTTGCCGGAACAATGTAAAGTGATCCATCAATACTAGCAATAAGTAACCAAGAACCAGATGGATCAAAGCAGAGACAGGCAATTTTTTTTCTAGAGCTTTGAAACCATGGAACCTTTTTGATGATAGGTAGAGACGATGAGTCTCTTAAGTAATAAAGCCCAAGATCTGAAGCACTGGAGACAAATGCCAAGAATTGCCTTTGTTGATACTCATTTCTTGCTGCATGATGGACATCACTTGCCTTTATGAGGCACTGGAGCTCAAATAAATTTTCTTGGCTCAAGTCTACAGTGCTGTTTTTTATTTTTAATTTCATCTCAGCCATTGCATTCTTCTAGGTGTGTAGTGAGAAAAAGTATGATGAAATATGAGTTTTTCAACAAAATTCTCAAAAGTCTAAGAAATATTTTTTCATACTAATTTGCAATCATGTTTATTGGAATTGTTAACAATTCAGCTTTTTCTTCTTCAATTAAGATCAACAAATACAAGAAAATAAAAATAACACTGAAAATATATATGTACTTGAAAATATTATTGATTTATGCAGCAAGAGTGGTGTTGATGATTCAGAACAATTAATGTTTACCACTTAATAAAGTCATCTCAAATTGATGATCAATTAGAGGCTTAGCAACGACTAAATCAAGTGAAAAAACGGGCAAACAAGTTTAACGACTGACTACATAATGCCTTCTACAATAAACGTTGTTGCAATCAGCCAATTTATACATTTCAGTCAAGAATTTTCCAACTCCGTTTCCCATGTTTTCCATTCTTTAATTGGTTTTTCAAGGAAAACATGATCACACACGAAGACTAAAATTAAAAGAAATCTCCCACTCAATCAAAAACTATGAAAAATTGAGGATTTTACAAAAATAAAAGTCCGAAAAACATAGATGTTTAGTTACTACGGAGTTATATACACGAAACGACGAAACTATCAGCTGACAGCAGAAGTTTTTGCAATAGGCAAAGTGACGTCATGAGATAATTGGTCACCTATCGAGTAATATGACGAGTTTGTGCTTGTCACTTGAAATTTTTAAATGTTCCAAAATCACAAAATTACACTTCCATCGAGGAAACAAAATTGCAAATTTGATAAAGATGATAAAAATTGCTTATTTAATCATCAATATCGGAAAATATACTTTAGCGTGAAATTTTTCAAGTACAGGAATCATATAGGAGATGTCGCTAGTGGTTTCGAAAAAATTTCATTGAGGTTATTGAAGCGAGAGGCAAAACTCACGCGCGGCCATCGTCATCTTTCTCTATAGTGATTCGCGGCTGTGGCGCACTACCACATACCACTCCACAAAAATGAACGTTTTTCCGAGTGTCGGTGTGTGCGCTTGCACGAATTTCTAAATTCTAACGGGCTGCTCTCCCAGCCCAGTAGTTGTTTGCACGAGTAGAGCAACATCGGACAATCGGAACACGCGCAGTAGATTTAAGCCCACCTCCTGTAGGGGAAAACTAAACAAGTGCGTGCATGTGTTTATATAAATATGTGTGCGTGAAAACTTTGTATTATAACCGACGACGGTGAGTGATGATGACGATGATGCTCGTGCGTTGAAAATGTATATGTTCGTGTTGTTTTGAATAGTTACGTTACATATTACACGCCCCTCGTGTGCTTCGAAAAGGTAGCGGCTATATTGTGTATATAACCTGCAAATTACGTGTCAGTGTGCTTCTTAATAAAGTCGATACATCTCCTATATACCGTCCCGACGAGAGAAAGAGAGAGGTGAGTGATTCGCGACAAAGATGCTTGAGCGAGAGACGTGCTTTGTTAATTTAGTTTCATTTATAGAGTTTAGATATAAGAGAAAATGAGGTGAGGTGGTAGTCACGTTCATTGGTTATTTGAATTCATCGATCGAAAGAAATGATCAACAAGTGTTAACATACAGTCAATCACATTCGCCTGGATTGTTTATATATATAGTCTTCGACGATTCTTGTCCGTTATACCGTACTGCATTAGCTTTGTAGGCTCTGGAATTTTTAAACTTTTTTTCTTTCTAAATTCAGATCAATATTGATATAGCTTAAAAAAAACATCCACTGGTAGCAATCTGTTGCGCGCTATATTCCGGAGCAATCTTATCTTTCGAGTAGAACAATAAAGTCCGAATTATCGCAGATAAAAGAAACTTGCATTAATTCTTCAATGTGTCCATGTTCCAGGCGAGAGGATGCATCGCAAACGTTTCTGAGTGTGCAGAAATATAAATACAAAACCGAATAAAAAATGGCATACAGAAAGGAGAAGCCTGCTACTGGCTTTGTAAGTTTAACGAAATTTTATTTTATCAATAGTAAACAATGTGCACTGGATATATCATGCAAGAAAAAAATGATTATTCGAAAGCCCGTTATGCGACAATAAATCAGTCGGCACATTTCAAACGCTGAATTATAATTTTATATTGCTCGTGCACTTAGATGTGACAGGATTTTATTAAACAGTGCTGAGATAAGTCTATCTAGTACATGATAATTATACTCATAAATTCTATAGCAATTGCTTTTCTTAGATGTTCTTAACGAATACGAAATACTTGGAGTTAACTTTGCGTAATGAATTATTTTACTTTTTTTTCGTAGTAAAATTGATAAGAAATATCTTGAAATATATATTGAAAAAAAAATAAGGTAAAATTTATTTTCCCAAGTCGATTAAAACCGTTTAATTGAAAATCTGATCCTCCATTCCTCCATGTGGTCACATATTTATGAAGTGTTTGATCACCGCCGAATAAGTAAATTCATACTTAAACGATAGATACGTAGGAACATACTGCATACTCGATTGAAAATCGTAAGTTCATATGTACATACGTTACGTATTCGCCTCGATACGACACTTGGGCGTTAAAACTATGAACTCACGCAATAACAAAAAATTCTTCATGCTCGCCGTGACAGAGATAAGATTGCGATTTATACCTCCTTTCCCGTAATTCATAATATTCCCACTGGTGGTTCGATTCTTTCGAAGCAAAATAGAGATGACGTCAGACCCATGATCTCACAGCACATACGATGCGAAATTGAGATTTAGAAAGTGCTTGTTTCCGAATTCTGTAATCGCTCTCGGCGTAGAATTAGTCAGCGTATGTTGTCTTTAACGAGCTCAACAATGTTGATACTTCGCGCGCGAGAGTTGTATAAGCTGAAGTCGAGTATAATTTACATCTGTATTTGTTATTATAATACCCTAGCGCGATTTTTATTGGGTCAGATTACGCAGTGAGTAGCTTTTTCACTTCACCTCGCACGAAACATTCCAATTCCGTTGCTGTAGTAATTTTCTTGCGAATCCGTGTGAAAATACAACCGCCGCGACTACAAATTACCATAAATTATCCTAGAATCGCTCCTCAATTCCAGACAGAGAATGAAGTCTCTTGGGATTTCAAAGGCTCAAGGCTAAGAATCTGCGCTCTTGTAGATTTAACAGATGAAAATGGACGAGCGGGACGGACTGGATGGCCAGCTGTTAGCGTTACAGCTTATATATCTCATTGGCCTATCTTGCAGGCTTTTCCTGCTGCGGTGGTTTTACCTGTCTACCTGCGTTTTTCGGACACGAACGTTCGCCTCTTGCACTTGCCCGCGCGCTCGTCGTCACGGACTTTGCTCCCACCTACACTTCGCTTTCTCTCTTTTCATTGTGTTTTCAACCTCGTCATTTTTTTGTCGGATGGTTGGAACTCAACATTTTCAGAGGGGATAGACTTTTCATAATTCTGTGCGAGTGCGTTTTTTTTTAAATTGTCTCCGATCGTGAGTTTTTAGACTTGCTTCTTTTTTATTTTTTTTATTTTGTAAGAAATACAATAGAACAAAATTATTCATAGTTTTTTCATTACTACATAATCTTTATTAATGCAAAATGATGTAATTTTATAAGAATCCCATTTTCTATGTTTCATGAAAAATATGTACATTCAAGAAAATCGGTGCAAGGATAAAACTTTGCTTATGAAAGTTATTTTTTCCGAAGCGAGAAGAAACACTCACGCAAAGTTAGAGCTATAACAAATATACGCACGTTATTCGCAAAATAATTAATAACCAAAACCGAAAATTTCCGAAATAAAAATGAAAATGTAGAAATTAAAAGTGAATATTTAGCAGTACTTGAAAAGTAATAAAGTAAACAAAGTCGTTTCGGGAAGCTGCTAGCAGTTGTCTTTCTGTGCTCAGCGATGCGGCTATAATGAGTGAGTATGCTATATTTGCTGCGGAATTAGTTACTGCATAAATCGCAGTTTTTATAAATGCAGTCGCTGTTTTTCCATCCAAGACTGGGATTCTCTTACGATGATTATAATTTTAAATGTAACACGCATGTAGGCGGTCAATAGAAGCAGTTGAAGTAATTATTACCGAGAGAGTCCGATTCACATTTTTTCTTTTCGCGATCGTTATAATCGCACGTAGTGCAACGACGTTCACAATGTTATGTCGAAAAAATCTTGCTTCTCGGCAAATTACACAATTCACCGCCAACTTTCCGCAACGCGTACTTTTATCACTGTCACGCTCGGCTTTTACACAACACTATCGTCGCCCGAAGGAAGCCGACTATCACATTGAAAAAAAAAAAAAAAGAAAAAGAAGCTCGCGTGGCCCGCCGTCAAATGTCAATGGAAGATGCGCGAAAAAGAACGAAGAAAATGCGGAGCGCACCCTCGTCGCGCTTTCACCTGAGCACATCGCGTATACACGTATTCGCAGTTGAGGAGTAGGAGGAACAATGCACGCGTATATACAGAGAGAAGAGAGATACGCGATACGCCGATGACGGCGGACGGGGGCGGCCGAGCGAAAAAACGATCTTTTTCAGTCGCCACTCGGACGCGCGTGCGAGAACGTCCTGCGACCAGACGCTGCTTCGGATTGTTCGGTCGTGCGTGCGCGACGAATTTTACAGGAGAGAGAGAGAGAGAGAGAGAGAGAGAGAGAGAGAGAGAGAGAGAGAGAGAGAGAGAGAAAGCCGAATGTGATAGTGCGTTGGCGGAACGAAAATGCGCGAACACTTTGACGCATCGCTGAGACAGCAGCAGATGTCATGCCACGCTTAGCGTCAAATTCAAGTTCAGAGCCAGTCTTTTTTCCTATCAGTTTTATTTTTTCCCCATTCTCATCGTTTCGCGATCGAGTTTTCACAGACCTTGCATTGCCAGATCGTCACCGTCCAAAGTTGAGTATTGTCGCTGCGTGTGCGTTGTACGTGTGTGCGAGCGAGAGGCAGATTGAGTTAAGTGCTTTGGAATGTAGTATGCGTAAGCTTTTTATCTCGGGGAGACCTTTACTCGAGGATTCGGAATAGGAGCGCACGCGCGAGCGCGACCTTTAGCTCGGGTTGCGTTTGAATTTCAAAGTTTACTTTTTTTTTTTTTGTATCTTACGACAAACCCGAGCTTGCGCAATTTCATCGAAATAATATTCGTCACGCTCAGAGAACCACGTTCGTGTTCGCGCGTGGGTTGGATAAATGAAAAAGGCCACCGTCGTGAGAGCAACAGATAATTTTCATAAAACGAGAAAATCGACCGACGCGAAAAAGTGAATTCGCCGTGAACGCGAAGAGAAAATTGTTTTTTTTGTCCTTCGGATGTGTGCGATCAGTGCTATAAATATCGTTGTTGAATGGATTACCGCACGCCACACGAGTTTTTCCAGGGAGCCATCGGCCTTCTTGTTTAATCGGTAAATTTCGTTTCAGGAAAAACATTTTTTGTTGTTCTTTGCTTTTTGTAATCTTCGCCGTTCGTTCAACTTTCGCACTGCAGGTCGATTGTTTTTTCAACGGATTGTTTGATTCAATTTATCGTACAGTAACTGAATGTGTCACGCCAAGAAAGCTGTGAAAAATCATGATTTTGCTATGAGAAGTGTGAATGATTAAGAAAAATAGATTTGCGAGTAAAAATGTTCGAGCTTGACTTTGAAAAGCACACGTGATGGGAAAGTAAATTTAGAACTGTCAGAGATAAGTGCCATTGTTGAAAATTTTATAACAACGGAAAGCTACATTATCGATTCCCAAGTGCTTCCGCGAAATCATCTCTGATGTCGATCCTCGTCAACTTATCTACTTGCAAAATGACTAACGAACGATATATCATTTTCAATCGGCCGGCTGTTAATTGTTTTAGCAAAGCTGAGATAACGCACGGTTCTTTTCGGATGGAAACTTGAACGCGTACCTTATCACCGATCGTGCAAAACTTGCAACGACAATCCTAATATTCTTCAAAATATAGACAAAGTGTTTGCTTGATCAAACCAGGCGAGCGATAAAAAGAAACTTTGAGTGTCGTTTCGAAATCGGTAGAGACAATGACTGACGATCAGTGAAACAGCAACACGCATCGAGAGACACGCTGCATTATGATTGCCGAATGGGTAAGCCGTGCACCTATCTCTCTCCACTCGCATTCCCTCGGCCGGTTGCCTAATAACGCGGGGTGGCGATTAATTGCTTTGCGCTTAGAGCATCGGCCTACTTTGATTTCTTCTCATTTTTCATTGCGGTGACCTTGCGGCGAAACGAATTTTTTTTTCGGAAAGCGAAGGCAGCGCGAGCTTTACAAGCCGAGCTACTACGTCCTTTCAGCGAACTCGTGGGATTGCGTAATCCGCTAAGTATACGAGTGACTCGCGCGCGATGCGCTTGAAAAATTTCGCAACGCGCGCGGCTTTTCACGGGCGAAAACGGTAGTGCTGCCGCTCGATCGAACGTCGCGAAATTTTTCAAGCGCGTCTCTCCTATTTTCCTGCTTTCCTTTATTTTTTGTTTGTTTGTTTCTAGCTCTCTTTGACAATCGTGAAAATGTTAAGACGACACACCGGTCGGATCTCGTCCCTCGCCAGTCAGAGGCTCGCAATGCGTTCTCCGCGCGAGTCGCGTTAGAGAATGCTTCTCGAACTTTTTGAATGCGCAGTCCGCTCTAATGTGCCTGTTCGCTCGCGAAATAGCAGTTATCGGCCTAAGGTCGCGCACCGCTCGTTTTTCAGTTAGGTGACGTCGCGTTCGAATTCCTAAGTACGCGCATTGTGTGCAAAGTTAATTAAGCGCCGACAATGCAACTCTGGAAACGCGATGGCTTTACGGAGGGGGGGGGGGGGGGCTTGCGAAGGTAACTGAACCTATATTTTCGTCTAACGCTCACGTATTAGGAGATATGAATTTGCCGCGCGTGTGCTACCAATAACCAATGGTCGTAATAGCTTCGCAAACAATAGTCGGAGTCATTATGCACGAGGATTTCGGGCGAAGCGTACTGTCTTATAGGCCACCAGTTCGTCGCTGACTGCCGGCCTGAATATGCGCTGTGTTCTCTGCACTTCTATTTCGTGGGATTTGTTCAAGGTAAAGTTCGGTCGCGAAGGAAAGTGGCAGCGGTTGAGTCATTTTTTCATCGACACGCGATTTTACATAATCCTTCGCGTGTGTTTGTGCGTCGTCAATTATTTTTAGTATAGTTATCGTAACCAAGCTATTTCTGTGCGATCAAGCGCTGGTAAATGATTATTTTAGCGTTACGCGTTTGAAAACTGGAACCCGGTTGCTTCAAGACTAAGCACTCGAAGATGCTGACAGTCACAGAATCGTCTCGTGATTAGTTAGCTGAATACCCGGGACCTTGGCAGTTGTCGCACATCGCGTAATTAAATTGACATTGACGTACAAAGCGAATAAAAATAATAATCAATCTGTATCATCGCTTACGGACTTTGTACTTAAGAATCCGCCCCACCAGCGCTCCGCATGAATAAAACATGCGGCGATTGTCGAAGCTTCATGATACGACATACGTTACGTGCAATCGCAACGACAGCGTGATCGAGTCATTATGGATTTGTTGCAGCTGGACACATGGTTCGGCCGACCAAAGAAGTCAGGCCGCGGCGGTGGCGCCGGGCCGAACACCATGCCAAGGCCTAATTCCGGTGACGACTTCAATGAGATCGAGCAGCAACGATGTATTATCGAGAGGATGGATGAGGAGACGACGAATGACAAGTTTGAGGAACTTTTGGTAATGTTCATTTCGTTTCCGCGCCATCAAGTTATAGTTTTAGCGAACGTTTCCTTTAGTCTTCTTTTCTGTTTGGCGGCATTTTTAAATAATAGAAATACTGAATTTTCCTCTTTCGGGTGGAAAGAATTTTACTTTTTTCACTTGCGTGAAAAAGTAAAAATTGATGCGTTAATTTCATTTTTACTATCTGACGGTTTTTTTATAGAACAAACGGTAATTTTACGTTAGTCGTTTTCGTTAATCATCGAGTGTGTTCCAAGCATACGTCAATAATGAGATTTCGTCAGTTATTAATTATATTCATAAAATATCTCGATTGCTCTAAAGTTTCCGTCTGTCAGGTTTTAAAAATATAAAATCTTCAAGATTTATTAATAATTTCAAAAATTGAATAATGAATAAAATGAATCGAACGTGTGAAGTATCCAGTAACTAAAATACGCGAACAACTTTTGCATAAACCTCAGTTCTAATTTTAAAATTAGATATTAGAAATAAATTTATTTGTAAAGAATGTAATTTTCTTAAATTTCTCAAACTGGAAAAAAAGTAACATTGCAAAATTATTCAAAAATCATTTAACGTTCAGATTTCGTTGAGTCCTGCTGAAGAAAAAAAATTCTTTTTTGAAAAACAATAAATCTACATAAATCATCATTCGAATTCTCGCTTAACTCTATATACTTACGCGAGCACGCGCACAAAAAAAAATAATAAGTGACACTTACTATCGTGCTTTCACCCGTGAAAAAAAAATCACCTGTCGGCTTGGCGCACAAACTGTTTCGCAACAACGCGCCGATGCGATTGTAAATTCATCCGATAAGCATGCACTTTACTCTTTCATCACCGTGCTAATCGTTTGTCTTTGTTATTATTTCTCTATACAGGCAAACATGAACCTGACCGAAGAAAAGAAAGAGCCACTTAGGCAGCAAACCGATCGTCGAAAGAAAGACATGCTGATAATGCATTACAAGGGTAGTCTGCAAGAAGGTCGCACTAAATTTGACAAACCAGCCGATTACATTCAATATTTGTCGCAATCTGATCTCAGCGTCAACAAGATACTCACGTGTATCGAGTCACTTAGGGTTGCACTTACGAATAATCAATTGAGTTGGGTTCAAGAATTCGGCACCAAAGGTCTCAAGCAGGTTTTAGTCATTCTGAACGAGTGTTATAGAAAGTAGGTTTCATGCATGTTTATACGCTTATTAAGTTGTAAATACGTCCTTAATAATAATAAAAATTAGACCTAATTATTTTTTGACAAATGGTTGTTCTCTCGCTGTTCTTTCAGTCGTGCTAATAGATAAATTGCAGCGCATTTGAATCGATGTCGAGTGCAAGTGGGTTTTTTTTTATTATCGCGTTATGCGCTTTTGTGTCTTGTTGATTGAAGCAAATTACTTCGGGCGAAACACTAAAACTTAATATTTTTGAGAATCATTTAGTATATCTCGTAGATTGCTATTGTGATTGAAATGATTAAGTATTCACAAGACGAGTTTATCAACGTCTTATAATGAAGGGAATAATTATTTTAAATAAATTATTATTATTTGTTTACTTTTATTTCAACTAAAAATTGAGTTTTTAAGGTGCCAATTGTATTTCTTAACTCAACATTGTGCAACATCTCTTCTAAATTAAAGTAATTATTTTCCTAATTATGAAAGTCACTGTTAAATTTACAAAGTTTTAAATTACAAGCTCCACGTAGTTACAATAATATTCAAATTTGTAAAACAATTCACGCAAGCTAGAAAATACAGTAGAGAACAAAAGCTTACACAGAAAAAAGCTGTAACCATATTAAAAGCTTTTGAAACGTTTATCGTTTATTCACCACCACTCGTTCTCAAACTTTAATGTCGTTCCTCCTCTACAGTGACAGCCGTTATGACAAGATCCAGTACGAATGCATCCGCTGCCTAAAGGCGATCATGAACAACACAGTAGGCATCAAGGAAATTCTCGCGCATCACGAAGCATTAACGATCGTCGCTAGATCACTCGAACCAAGTAAACCAGCTGTGATGTTCGAAGCGGTTAAACTTCTCGGTGCAGTTTGTCTCATTTCATCTGATAGTCACAAAAAGGTTTTGGATGCGATAACCATGAATGGAGAATTTAATGGTCGAGATCGTTTCATGCCGATTGTCCAAGGGCTAATGAATAAACAGAATGAAAATCTTAGGGTGAGTGATAACGATAATTTTTTCTGTGACAGATTTATGACGTCGATTATTTGTAAAATTATTAGAATGGATTTTCTTATGTTCGAAGGCAGTTCAGGGTGACAAAAAAAATTGTCGTTAACCCGAATTGAAAGTTACGATGTTTTCCAATTGAGTCGTGTATTGCTTGTGACCAAAGTATTTTATCATCGTAAATTTTTAAATAACCCGCCATCGAGTACTAAAGATAAATGGTGAATCATTCGAGTTTGGAATGATTATTTTTCTTAACATTGTCCACGAGCTTATTTCTTTTAACTTTGAAATTTTTGAAAATTTTAAATAACTTTGAGCAGTATATTTCTTACATATCGAACAGTTTTATTTGACTTTGTAGCAGAATAAAAAATAGATCTTCATAAGCTGTGAAGAAATAGAGGTGAGAACGCGACCTTGCGCGGGGCCGCATCGATGCTGTGTCTCGACGCAGCACGTCGTCGACAACGAACGCGACGAATAATTAGTAAAGGTTATTACTTGTAACAAAGTAAATGTCAATCATAACATAATTGTAAATTCCAATAAATAACGCTGTGAAAAGTCATTAAAGGAGGACACATGTTGAAAGGGCAATGCCCCCACTGAGTGGTTGAGAACCGTAGCACACCCGTGGTTACTCAAAGTTACTCAAGTTAATTAAGTAATGTTCGTGCAATTAGTTTAGTCGTTTGTATTATTCAAATAATACCGTTTTTTATTTACTTGTACGCGTCTGACCTTTCTGCTAAATTTGATGACTAATGCGATGAAGAACTGCAATGATTTCCAAACAAAACGTAACAAACAAGCGTCCTTACAAAGGGATATAAAGATTAACAGCATGAGTGCCAAGTTAAGCGTCGTTTGTAAGAAAAATCTCCGTCGTGCACTATCGCGTTAAGAAACGCGAGCACTAAAACTGCATCATCTGGCGTTTCTGTTATCGAGGTCTTTGCGTGCTGCGCTTTTAATGCAGAATCCGGCCGTGCAAGCGATAAGATATCGTCTACTGTTGTTCGTCGTCAACTTTAAGAAACATACTGTCGACGGGTCGCCTTCTCGTTGCAAAAATCTAAATGTCGCCCGTGAAATTATTTTGCAGGTAGTATGTCTCCAATTGATAAACTCGATAATCTCGTCAGCAGAGGAGTTGGATTTCCGATTGCACCTGCGCAACGAGATCATGCGCACGGGATTAGCGGATATTTTGGAGACGCTGGAAGCGGACGACGAGTCAGAAGATCTCAGTCGGCATTTGAAAATCTTCAACGAATTCAAGGACGAGGATTACGAGGAGTTTATGAATAGATTCGATCACGTGAGACTCGAACTGGACGACGTGAACGATTGCTTTGAAGTCGTCAAAAACATGGTGATGGAAACCCCAGCTGAACCTTATTTCCTGTCGATACTGCAACATTTGCTGTTCGTCAGGGACGACGCACTCATCAGGTAAAATTTTTTTACTCATCATCAATAAATTATGAGTATCCTATGGGCCGCGTAAATGTTGAAAGAGGGATGAGAATTTTACAAGCTGACAGGCTACGCTAGCGGCTTAAACTAAAAGATGCCTACCTGAGTGTACTTATCCCCTACTCCGGTCTTTCTCCGCCTCTCGCTTTCTTCTTCCCTCGGCTAAAGACGCGCTCTCTCTGCACTTTTCCTTCAGTAATGTTGTGGACGCTTTCCTATCACCCTCGGACGCTCGCAGTCCAATGTTTTGAACAGTAGTCGTATCTATTTTGTCGCGTAAACACTGTGCGTTGTGTAATGATACTTCGAACTTCTATCCCTTGGGACACTAATCTCGTGTGATATACCTTTGTTTTTCAGTGCGTGCGTGTATGTGTGTGTGTTCGAGTAGTCATCGTCTACGGTCCGCGTCACTTTAATGTTATTCGTTTCACGTGTATTTCGTTTTTGAATTATACCTTATCGCGATGTTTAAGAAAATGCTAAAGAAAACTCATAAGTTATTTAACTTTGCCACGCTTCTCATCAAAGCTGTTAAAACCAATGCGTCTTCTAACAAATTTATGGTCAAAGTGAATATAGTGTTCCCGAAGAACTCGAAGAAACGTACGAATAATAAGAAACATCAGCACTCTGGTATTGTATCGACGAAGAAGAAATCAAAATGGTACCGTGTGATTTTCCTTCGTACCTAGTAAAATGCGCAGAATTTTAAGTAACGATTTGAGAGAGAGAGAGAGAGAGCGAAAGAAAGAAAGAACGTCTATAGGAAGTAAACAAAAACATACCCTTGATATATAAATTTTGACCCAAAATTTTTTGCACTCACAGGCCAGCCTACTACAAACTAATAGAAGAGTGCGTATCGCAAATCGTCCTTCATCGTTCGGGTTGCGATCCAGATTTCAGCGCGACAAAACGTTTTCAAATCGATGTGCAACCATTGATCGAAACTTTGGTCGAGAAATCCAAAGCCGAGGAGGAACATCGTATTGCCGAGATGTCGCAGAAACTCGAGGAGGCTATCGCCAGGAAACAAGAAGCCGAGGCTAAACTGCAACACGCCGAAAATGTCATTCGGGAGCTGGAGCAGGGCACTGGCAAGAGTGCTAGCGGTTTACCAGTGAGTAGATTGGCAATTTTTCTCTTCGAATTTTAAAAGAAATTTGTTGTGCATCGCACAGGTGGCAGATTTGAATATGATGTCAATCGTAGTTTGTCATTCTCATAATTGAAATGGCAGTATAGCCGTACGCATTTATGCTATCAGACGAGTTGCATATATGTGTAACCGTGGATTAGGGAGAGCTGAATTGTTGAAGTTGTTAATACTGACAAATCATTTGGGTAGAACTTATATTTTTATTAATTTTAGTAGACATTTTTAAATTTAATTGATATTAATTTACTTAATATTAAAAATTATTTTTCATTGATTTAATAGAACTCGATCTTTTTTATTAATAACGTTGCATAAATTCTTTATCAGAGTGTCTCAATATAATTTCATGAAATCTACAATTTGCTGTGAGATTACCAAATTGCATTGTCTTAAAAATGTACGTCCTTAATAAATAAACAACAAACTAAATATAATTTCAAACTATAGAAACTCAGCAATGGGCCACCACCACCACCACCACCTCCGATGCCAGGAATGGGAGGTCCACGTGCGCCACCACCTCCACCAATGCCAGGCATGGCTGGACCACCACCACCTCCAATGCCAGGCATGGGTGGTCCACCACCTCCATCTATGCCAGGTGTAGGTGGTCCACCTCCACCACCAATGCCAGGTGGCATGGGTCCACCTCCACCACCGATGTTAGGTGGTATAGGTCCCCCAAGAATGCCTGTGCCAAATAATCCTCTTCCACACGGTTTGAAACCGAAGAAAAAGTGGGAAGTTGAGGGGCCCTTGAAGAGAGCGAATTGGAAGGCGGTAAGTTTGTTGATAGATTATTGATATTTTGCTTACTAAACCTAAATCAAAATGATTTAACGTGTGTATTTTATTTACAGATCTTACCTCACAAGATGACTGAGAAATCGTTTTGGGTAAAGGTGCAAGAAGACAAACTAGCCAGTCCCGAGATATTGAATGGTCTGGCACAGAAATTCTCATCAAAACCAGCAGCGAGAAAGATGGACGACGTTGTTGATAAGTATGTATTTCTAAATTTATTTAAAATGAAAACTGTTTCACGCTTGATCCAGTTCAATAAATTACAACGAAGACATTTGTTTTTCAGATCGGCACCAACAAAGAAGGTCAAAGATTTGAAAGTTTTGGATGGTAAAGCAGCTCAAAACATTCTTATCCTGATCAACGGCACCCTCAAACATATGTCGTATGAGGAAGTTAAAACATGTTTGCTCAGGTGCGAGGGGCCCGTTATCAATGACAATGTCCTTCAAGGTTTGATTCAATACTTGCCACCACCTGATCAGTTAACTAAACTACAGAACTACAAAGATCAGTATGAAGAATTAACGGAAGCTGAACAGTTCTGTATTAAAGTAAGTTGACAGTTTTCATATTTATAATTTCCATAATTATTTTTGAAATTCTATTATTTATTTCCTATTATACAATTACAGGTTTCACAAATCAAAAGGTTACTACCGAGATTAAAGTCATTAAGTTTTAAATTGAAGTTTGAAGAGCTTGTCCAAGACGTCAAACCCGATATTGTAGCCGGTACTGCAGCATGTGAAGAAGTTAAGAATAGTATAAAATTCAAGAAAATCTTGGAGCTTATTTTACTTCTCGGCAATTACATGAACTCAGGATCGAAAAATGGACCGGCGTACGGATTCGAAATTAGTTTTCTTACCAAGCTTACAAGTACAAAGGATATTGAAAACAAAGAAACCTTACTGCACTACCTTGTAGACACAATAGAAAGAAAGTTTCCAGATTGTCTTAGTTTTATTAAAGAATTAGAACATGTTGATAGAGCCAGTAGAGTGTCTATGGAAAATATTCAGAGAACACTTAGGCAAATGGACTCTAATATTCGTAATTTAGAACAAGACCTCGCCAACTCCAAAATTCCACAGAATGACCAAGATAACTTTGCTAAAATTATGACGGTAATTTTTTAATTTAGCTTTTGAATCATTTGAATTATTTTTCTAATAATTTTGTAATGAATTTTTTTGTAATGAATCTACATTTACAGCCATTTACTAAGAAAGCTCGAGAATCGTACGAAATTATGCAAAACATGTTCAAAAAAATGGAAAGCCTATACACAGAAATTTCGGAGTTCTATGCTTTTGACAAGCAGAAGTATACAATTGAAGAATTTTTTGGCGATATCAAAAAGTTCAAGGACGACTTTCTGGTAAAATCCTTTGTCAACTTTCTTTTATATAAAAATTAATATATACTAATCAGTATTTGTCGTAATTTTTTCCAATGCAGCAAGCACAAAAGGAAATAATTAAATTACGGGAAGCTGAAGAGAAGCAGCGTCGAGCGCGGGAAGCTCGTGAAAAGGCAGAGGCCGAGCGAGCAGCACGAGCTGAACGTAAACGAGCCTTGGTCGACATGAATGCACACGAGACTCAGGAAGGTGTGATGGACAGTTTGATGGAGGCATTACAAACAGGTGCTGCATTCAGTCGACCAGATCAACGGCGAAAACGGCAAACACGTGCGGCCGGCGGTAAGTTGAAGAAGACAATGTCGGCGAAAATCAGGACCTGGAGGCTCAAGCGCAGTCTCAAGCAAGCAAACAAGCCGGTCATGAATAATAGTCTTAGAGCTGAATTTGATTCAGTTATTAGTGGGATTCAAGGGTTGGTTGCTGATGTAAATAAGGATGATGAGAAACTTACGGGAGGGGATAATAAAAAGTATAAGAAATTACTTAGTAAGCGTAAGAAAGTGAAAAAAATTGTCAAACCTAGTAAAAAAATAATCGTAGGTAAGAAGACTAAACGAAGTGCTTTTGTCAGACAAGTTATAATTAGACGACGCAAGCGTACCGTAAAAGTACGTAAGTTAGGAGAATATTTAGGTAGTCCACCAAAAGTGAACGCAACATTGCCGATCTTACAATCAACTCCAAACGTACGATTATCTTCCAAGTTTGGTATCTCAATGTCATGTAATAATCTACCAGTGAACGTAGATGAGGCCACTATAGCTGAATTACGATCGCAATTCACAAACGAACAGCAAAAACCTATCGAGAATGAGAATTCAACGAGTTTCGAGAAAAGCGACGATTTGCTATTCAATGACACTCTGTCCGCGAGTAATGGCAGTACATTTATAAAAAGAAATACGCGTAAAATAAAAAGATTATTTAGCTTTAAAAATCGCAAAGACGACTCCGATATAGATGAGGATATGCATAAACAAGCTAAATGGAAACTTTGGAAGGCTACTGGTAAAGTTACAATTAATGCGAAAAAATAGAAATTTGGCTTTTTTACATTATCCATCCATTGCGACTGCGAGAGATTAATTTTTTTTGTACGCGTGACAATTTGTTACAATTATCTTTTTTATGACTGAACTATTATTTAATATATTCTTTTTATTTTACAACACTGTATTTTTTTTAATTCCTTTTTTTTGTATCGTAATGTCTTACATGTTTAATTTAATAGAATACGAAATATACTTATGTGATGAGTTGCGGGAAAAGTGCATGATAGATACGAAAGGGTGGTGAATTGAAAAGATTTATTGTGTAGTTGTGTTGTCTGTTTGCTTGCTTGTAGATTGTGGATGATCCTATCATGATCGATCGTTAAGATTGATTGTCGTAAGAATATAAACATTTCTGTTTGGTTTACGTTTGAATACTAAATATCATATATTTTTCAGCTGAAAGACGAGCACAATTAAACAGAAGTCGCTCACGTACGGGATTAGTTGGGACAGGACTACTAGGAAGAGAATTATCAACGTAAGAATTATTGAAATTTTTACAGTTATATTGCTGTGAAATTTTAAACTCTTGTGTGTAAAGCGCTAAAATTTTGCGTTTTAGAGAGCTACTTAGTTCAGCCTAACGAGAATTCACTGTCGAATAGTGAGGGCTGTGATAAGCCAATGTAAAAAAAGATCATCCATTGTTTTGATAATAAAAAAGTCGTTTGATACGCGAAGGTTGACGCCTTGGAAAATACAAAATGAAGTAATTACGCCGTCCAGACAAATCTATATACTTTCATAGTATAAAGACAAAATCAAGTATTTTTTTACTATCGTTTTTGTCTGTCGTAAGATGTTAAAAACCCGAAGTTGAAGCTGACACGAAAGAGACAACATTTGAATACAACTTGTATGTAACTAGTGTGTAAAGGGGAACACGGAATTGTTGTTCATAGTTAGACGGAAATCTTATAATTCAATACACTGCCACGACTAGTTGTGCTGTAATTTGGATAACTTCATTGTGCCAAACAAACCAAAAATACTGACAAAATGAAAAAAATTTTTTTGGCAAAGTAGAACGTGAGATGAATTTTCTTATTTTATGAAGACATTTGTTGAACGAAAAGACATTATTTGTATGCTGTTTAAAGCATTAGCTTTACGTTAGATATCTTTTGGAGTGAGTGAAAATGGCACTGTTAAGAGGTTCCAAAGACTTTATTATGTATATATTTGAGACATATTCTTCAATATTCACAATTGCGTCTGAATTTTTTTTCAATGGGCCTCAGGAGTTTTTTACATAGTTCTTATGTCCAAGTTTTGAATCATTATGGTTTGGTCGCATTTATAATTTGCCATTTAATGTATCCTTAACCTTGGACGTAGGAATAATCGCGGAAGGAATATTATACATATGTTATGCTTTTTTTACAAATATAAATATTAAAAAGATGCGAAGATATATTTTTTAACGTGTATATACAGAAGAGTAATTTATTTATAACTTGAAGGGAAATATGTCTTGATATATTTTATAAATGAGAGATTAGATTGTTTCTTGACTGCATGAACCTGTCAGACCACAACTGTAATTATATTGTGAATATAGAATTTTAGAGTCAGATTCTGTTATTATATTCTGATGATGCAATGTGTAAAAACATTTATTTATTTTGCATAATTACCATAAGTGAAAGCATAAATAATTAAAAGAGAATATAGGACATTATAAGTTCAATATTGTGGCAAAGTTAAAATAATATGTTTCTACGCACATCAATGGAAACACGATTATATCAAAACAGAAAAGAAGTAATTTGTAAAAATAATAAATAATAAAATTCAACTTTTATTCTTATTCAGTACGTTCAACATTTTCAAGTCCTAATCTTAATAATTTCCTTACAAAGTATGCGTGAGTACGCAGACGGTTCAGTCAATCATAATTTAAGTTGAACTTTAGGCTCTCTCCAGATAAGATCCGTGGGTCAGAAAATCGCACGGTATTTTACCAGCGGATTAGCAATGCACCTACTGTTGCATTGCTCATCAACTATCAGCCCAGCTTAAAGATCCTCAATTAGTCGAATAGTAATCGATTATGAGTAATCGATTAAAAATCGATTTTTGAAAAAATCGAAGTATCGATTATAATATCGATTATATAGATATTTCAATTTGAAATTTTCGCGCTACTTTTGGTTAAGGCGATGAATATCAATACAAAAAGTTATAATTTAATAAACATTATTTTCTAAATATTTTCTTTTACTTGCTCGCATTGATCGGATCCCAAGCGAAGCCTCTAATACATCGGGTACCGTAGACGTATTTAACACAAAATCAAACTAATTGAGATAAACAAGGTTAAAACTTAAATTGTAACTTGTGGAATAAAATAGTGGTATATGACAGAATGGTTATGCTTGAAAAACTTTGATAATGTTCAAATTTATGCGCTGATTTTACTTGATTTTACATCACATCACATACCCGCTACTGTAAGTGCGTTCAATTTAGTCGTACCATATACCGTACTGTTCTGTTCAATTTGCTTGTTTCAGTCATTTTACAGCTTGTCTGCAATCCATTGTTGCAAATAAATATTTTAATTATTTTTAACGGTATGCTCAATTCAATAAGCTTATGTTCAATACTATAAAAACACAAGTTATAAAAAAGCAGCGATGACTGAATAAAACCTTCGATACTAAAGAAATAAGAATCAAATCGATCAATCGCCTATTGAAATAATCGATTCTTGAACGAAATAATCGAGAACTTTATCACTAATCGATTATAATCGGGGATCCCTAGCCCAGCTCAATATTTATGGTAATATTTACACTGCTCGCAGCATCTAAATGACCTAACCTTAAGATCCTTTATTCACAATGGTGGGCTACATCATAATTTTATAACCTAAACCTACAGAACGTTTCTTAGTGTATCATTCGGATTCTGAAATTCGGACTTATATATGGAGCTATTGTAAATCAAAGCGCACATGAACAAAAACAAATTTAAGTTATGTGATATAATTAGTACTTTTTAGAAATGTCTCTGTACGACGATTTTGATAAGCCAGCTCGCACGACAGATAAAGTCGCAGGATGGTCATCAGGTATAAAGTTATTGCAGTCTCAACTTCAGTTGAAGAAAGCTGCAATTCCACAAGGAAAACGAGAGTTAACGAGAAAACAAGCGGTCGTATTAGCACCTGTGATCGATTTGAAGTCGAAGTCTCGCGAAGTTGAGAAAGATGATGATGGATTGAAATTATTTTCCAATACTCTAACTTCACTAGGTTCTGTTAGTGATTTTGATTGGAATGTCACTAATGAGTATGATCCTAACTGGCCTAATGAATATGAAAAGGTGGTTAAAGAGTTGAGGGATATACGAGATCGTGAGCATGATCAAGAAAACGAGCAACGAAAACGTAGTAGGAGAACCGAGTCTCATTTTGATGAGCCTCAACTTTCAAACATTGCTGCAATGAACTCTATTGACAGAGATGAAGAACGTTCGGAACGAGCTACATTCAGAAGCAATGCTGGAGCTGCTATTGCTCCACCACCATCGTTGCAAGAATCTCAAGAACCAGCTCCACTTGCTCCACCACCAACAAAGTCAACTCTCAATCAAGGATATGCTACTTCATCAGTTGCAGCAAAGATAATGGCAAAGTACGGTTTCAAGGAAGGCCAAGGTTTGGGAAAAAAGGAACAAGGTATGTCTGTCGCACTGCAAGTTGAAAAAACAAGTAAAAGAGGAGGCAGAATCGTAAGTGAGAAAGAACAATTGATGCCACCTCCACCACCTGTAAATACATCACCTCCTAGTAGTGCTCAAGTATCAGCTGATGGACCAAGTATTACTGAAATTATGAAGTCTCCTAGTAAAGTAGTTTTGTTGAGAAACATGGTGGGACCTGGTGAAGTTGACGACGATCTTGAACCTGAAGTCAAGGATGAGTGTAATACTAAATATGGTGATGTGACTCGTGTAGTAATCCATGAAGTGCTCAATGCTGTACCAGAGGAGGCTGTCAGGATTTTTGTTGAATTCAAGCGCATTGAGAGTGCTATTAAAGCTGTTGTGGATTTGAATGGACGATTTTTTGGTGGTCGACAAGTCAAAGCTGGATTTTACTCTATTGAAAAACTGAATGATTATCAATTACTAGATTAATTGACTGTACATTTATTTGACTTACACTAAGAGTACAAAAATCCTTTGTATGATTATTTCATCATTATTGATTTACATTTTTCATGTGAATTTGTTTTGATTTCTTTACTATAGTTTAACAGCCTGTAAAATAATATTGTAATAAAAAATTTTTTAAATTAATTTCTTAAAATATTGTTTTAACCTACTCTATTATATAATTATCTAGTGTGAATATCATTTACTCTATAAAATATGATTATCAATATTGATACTTTGACAAGTGATTATTGATTACTTTTCATTATGGCTATTTTTGACAATAGTGTATGTAAATTTATATTCTTTTATCATTAAAAAATTAAGTTTCTTTTAGAAAGAGAGTGAAATAAATTTGTTTTTAAAAAAATATTTAACAAAACGATTTTCAAATTAATGGCAATTAAAAAAAATAGACTTTTTATTTGATTATCATTGCAACAGTATATAATTTCTTGTCAATATATAAATAAAAATTTCGCAGGACAAATGAATAAGAGTAATTTGACTCTGCTAGACAACCTATTTATTACAATTATGAGGTGTATTATAAGTTATTGAATTGATTAAATAGTTCTCCAAAATTTTATTTACCATTATCAACTATTAAATAAAAAAATATAAAACCAAAAAATAAGTAAAATAAAAATAAATAAATTAAAAATAAGTAAAATAAAAATAAATAAATTAAAAATAAGTATAATTTTAATCTACTCTACAAAATAAACATTCACCATTATTACGTTCCTAAACTGTATACATAAAACGAATAAACTCTTGACAGCAAAATTCGAAAACATTTCACAATGTAAAAGTTGCACTTGCGCGGTTACACGTCGGAAAGCTTCGATTTTTACAGCATGCGCATTGCGTCTGTTAGTGGTCACATGCGCTGACGTGCAGTCGAAATGTCTGACTCCTCATTGAAAAATCAAAAGCACCCTGACAATTAGACAAAAAACGAAAGAGTTGAATAGGAGTAAAGAAACAGTTGCCGTTGCTGACAATGAAAGTAAGCTTTTAGATAAGTGCACGGCGGATGTGAGCAGTTGCCTGGCTTTTTCTTTTAAAACTTTGCTCGATATCTTTCTTTTAGGAGAAAAGAGTGAATGAACGTCCTTAGCAGCATATTTGAAGATATTGATTATGCATACAACTCCATCACATATACTGCATTATACTTCTTTACTTTTTCTTATTGAAATTGGATTTTGTACATGTTTTCGTGATCGATAAGATTCAATAAATATTATCTTAGAAAGTTTGAGAGTAAACTTTTTTATTTCATCTCTTTTACCTAGTTCATTATATAGTAATTCATCTATTTCAGCTCACAAAATAGAAAAAAATTGGATCTAAGTTTGAAGACGTGAAAATTGCATTTAGAATGAACCACTAACTTATTATTTTTTCAAAGCACTTACATTTTTTAGACTGCAATGTTTATATGCTACTTTAGATTTGTGAACTACTTATTTTTAGATTTAAGCGTGTATAAAAGTATCTAGTAATAATGCAGAAAAACCTATTTGAAGTTAATGGTAATTTAATTAAAAGCATATATTTAAAAAAAATGATACTTGTACACGAACTCATAGTAAATAGTTTAGTATTTTAATCAATATTTTTTAGCTTAATAGTAACTTTCAAAAAAAGGTAAGATTTATCAATAAAATGTAAAAAATCGTTAAACTATGTTGCAGTATAACAATAATAAATATTTTTACAGGTCGATAATTCGTAAAGAAAAATGGGACCCGACGTAGAAATGAATCAACCGTTAATGATAACAGTATCAAAGAAAAAGAAAGTAAAAAGAAAATCAATCCTAAGTCGTTTTAGTTTCTTCGCGTGTATGAATCTGTGTATGATACTGGCCTTTTTTACCTCAAGCTTGGGCGGATCTAAGGGTTCGTCTTTAAAAAAAAAACAAAAATTGATAAATAATCATTTTCTTACAAATCTCTTTTTCAATCGCTCACCTATATTTGACATTTTTTTCTAGCTTGCGCACAATTTTAGAAAAATAAAGATCATTTTAGCAAGATTACATACGCAAATTTGTTTAGAAAAATGTAAAGGTAGGCTAAAAGTATTATTGTAATTGAAGCTGCTGTAATTTGCTAAAATTCTCAAAGTTCCCTATAGCTGGTAGATGTTGTCCATGTAAACAAAATAAGGCCTTGCGTAGTTAGTTATGAGCATTATTATCAGACATATTTTTTCCTCAGTAGTTGAGCCCAACATGTATATATATTAAAATTTAGGCATATCTTCGATCTTAGATTTGAAACGAATAATAACACATGAACTGGGCGTAGGAATCGTCGATGGAAACTTTGTGATATGGTACATGACAGTGCCGCTGCTGTATCTGGAGGCTGGACTGCGCTGCGGTCACAAGGCCTTCTTCTCCGTCCTGCGCGATGGTTACTTGATCTCCTTTTTAATGTTCTTCATTTACATCTTGATCCCAGCCTTGGCTAAGCTCAGCACCTACTGTCTCGGCAACGCGGGCGTTAACGCTCGGTTGCTCAGCGGAATCGAAGTAATTAATCGCATCGAAAATTCCCGTACGACTATATGCGTTTTCTCATACAATTATGCAATTCCATTTGTTTTTGGCTTTAGGTATTGCACTGCTTACCTCCGCCGTTTAGTACAAGTCTAGCTTTAAGCAGAATATCCCAAGCGGACATTCCCACCAGCGTTGTCACAATTCTGACGTGCCACATCGGAGGACTGCTCATGTCCCCGATATCGCTGTACATACTGGTAACGTACGCCATCTGAGTGCGTCACAGATTGCGCATAAAATGTTGATCTAGCTAGGGGCATCGGTGCCACCTCTGGCCGAGATCGATCTGCGCGAGATCGCCTACAGCGCTCTGGTGCCCCTGGCTATCGGCGTGTCCGTGCGCTGGATTTGGCCCAAAGCCGACGACCCGGACAGACGGACGGACTGGCTGGCGAGAGCGCTGCTTCTGATCACGGCCTACAATCTGTTCTGCGACGCGTTCACCGTCGACGCCGCATCGCTCTGTGCGATCGACATTCTGCTTTGCGTCCTCATCGGTGGGGATACATATACACATATACAACTAATGTGTCGTACAATGTCACCTACACCGTCGCTCTCTCGCTTGCAGCTTTCGTCGGTCAAATCCTGATGACGTGCGTCTGCTGGACACTCTGCAGCGGCTGGCTGGCGCATGACGTCGTGTTGGCGTCGGTCTTCACTTGCACTCACAAGAGCATCGGCTTCGGTGGTTGGCTGATGCGCACGGCCTTTCGAAACACCCTTCACGTTAAGGCGGTTCACCTACCCCTCGCTATTTTGACCGTGGCTCAGTTGCTGTTGGGCAGTCTGATGGCGGGTTGGCTGCGGCACATCTAATGCGGCAGCGCGATGCTTTTTCAATTCACATTGTACGATCGCAATGACATTTTCGATCCTCGTTCGTGAAAAATATATAGACAACTTTTTTTCTCTCGAAAGGTCTTTCATTGCTGTCTCTCCATTGCCATCTCGCTTTCGACTGATTCTCCATTTTCGCGCAATTTTTTTATTTTTCCTCGGAATGGTTTGTGAAAATATCAGAAAATAACAATTCAAATTCTAAAATTCGTTCTTTTTACATTATAGTTTATGCGACAATGGTTTTTGCGCTTAAAGCGTCAACTTCATCGCTAGCTATTATTTCTAGTCTATGCACATTGTAGCTCATATATACTCGATATAGGTCTGGTGTGCCTCTATAACCTCGTTAGTACATCACTTTATATAGTAGGTATAATCTATTGAAATATTACGATATAGCTGGAGATATTAATTATAAATGCGATAATAATTGTTTACAGTCCCAACAATCTCGATTTTAACGTTAATTTATAATTATGTCAAGGACGGCCTGGAAAGTGATTTCTGCGCAGAATTGTAGACAGGCAAATATTTAGAACAAAATAAGAATAAAATCAGAGTTCTTTCTTGACAAAGGCAGATATTTCGTCGCAGCTATAATCAAGTAATTATTCAATACCGAAACTAAAGTTTATAGTTAACGAGTGAATTTATAACTATATAAGACTCTTCTCGAATTATCATACTGATCAAACATTTATTGCGATCAAAGATACGTGCTTCCTTGACGCATATATATATATATAGACGTAATTATCAGCTCGTTATTAAATCGATTTTCAAGAACAAGTACCAACTAACTAATATACATTTGGACGGTTTGCTAAAACTCAACGTTTTATACATATTTTTTTAGTTTTTATAATTCTGTAGTGACGAGCATAGTAAATAAACAAAATAAAAGAAGAAAAAAGTTTGGAATAGAAATTATGATTTGTGACATTTTCACAATTTTGAGCTACTTTTTTTTTATTTTAATCAGTGCTATCGCGTTTTTCTATGTCTACGCAAAATATCAGCAAAAATATTGGAGCAAACGAGGAATATATACTCCGCCGTGTCATTGGCTGTTTGGACACTTTACTGATGCTTTTCTCGCCAAAAGATCATTCCCACAAGCTTTTGCAAATTTACACAACTCGATCGAAGTTGATGCACCGGTAGTTGGAGTTTACGTTTTGCAAAAACCATTCTTGTTGCTCCGAGATCCAGAAGTAATAAAGCACGTGCTGATCAAGGACTTTAATATTTTTAGTAATCGATATTTTGCAGCCAAGAGAAAAACCGACGTGATCGGTTGTAAAAATTTGTTTTCTATTGAAAATCCACACTGGAAATATATTCGCTCGAAACTTTCAGCAGCGTTCACTGCCGGCAAACTCAAGAAATACTTTCCATTCGTACTCGCGTCGGCAGAAAATATGAGAAGTTACTTGAGTTCGCAAATGACCGATGGCCAGAAAGTTACGGTTGAATGTAGGCAACTTTGCGATAAATATACTACGGATGTTATTATAAACTTTGCTTTCGGTGTTCAAACGAACTCGTTTACCAATGCAGCATCAGAAATTTATTTACGAAGTGAGCACAATAACAAATTAACCATTCACTTGGCGTTGCTTGCAAATTTTTAATTAATCGCGCATTTTTTAGCCCGCAAACTATTCGAACTTGATTTAGTACGAGCCATTCAAATTTTCGCCACGTTTTTCTATCCGACAATCAGCGATTATTTGGGAGGTTCTATGCTTGACAAATCTACAGATTATTTCCGACAAATCTTTTGGGAATCTATGAACAAACGAGAAAAGACAGGAATAAAAGTTGGTGATATTATAGACTTGTTGATTGATTTGAAAAATGAAAAGCAAAGTTCGGAATTTGGTGAGTGACTCATCGATTTTCAAATTCAAAAGTGGAAGCCTAAAAATGTTAGAAAATGTAGTCTTATCAGCGACTCGTGAAATTATTCTGCATTGCTTTACTTTCTTACAGTTTTTGAAGGAGATTACCTCGTAGCTCAGTCTGCAGTACTTTTACTAGCGGGAATCGAAACTAGCGCGGTAACTATATCGTTCACTTTGTTAGAACTAGCAAAACACCCAGACATTCAGGCAAGAGTGCGCCAAGAGATTCAAGAAAAATTATCCAACAGTGATTTGAACTATGATATTGTCTTAAAAATGACTTATTTAAACCAAGTTGTATCAGAAACATTAAGATTATATCCTCCAGCTCCATTGATAGACAGAGTTGCTTCGCAAGATTATCAAGTAAATATTATGAAATATCGTATACTATTTTTATTGAGCTGTTCGAAAAAAAAAGGTTCATTAATTTTCAGATACCAGGAACGGAAATAACAATCGATAAAGGTACGGCAGTTTATGCAACTTTAATGGGTTTACATCAAGACCCTCGTTACTATTGTAATCCAACAAAGTATGATCCAGACAGATTTAGCGAAGAACAAAAAAGTAATATCGTACCGTGTACTTATATGCCTTTCGGCGAAGGACCTAGAATATGCATTGGTATGACAATTAAGAATCTAACGTCTAGAGATTATTTAAAATTTTGAGAAACTTTTTTTGGGTTTTTTAGGAATGCGTATTGGACAGATACAAACGCTAACGGGACTCGCTGTGATATTGAATGAGTATGAAGTAACTCTAAATCCTAAGTACAAAAATGAATTGAGCATGCGATCTATGCTCCTTGCTCCGGCAGACGGCATTCGATTATATTTTACAAAATTGTAACAAAAATAACTGTTTTCAAATAAATATTTGTTTTACAAAACTTGAATCTTTTCTTTTTTTTATTTGCTGATACTCATTTTTTGAACAGTAATGTTGTGGCAAATAACTTTTTTTTTCAATTAAAACTATAACAAAGAAGAAATGAATTTTTCAATTGAAATTATAAAATTGTATGCAAAAAATACTTCGAAAATCTTCATTTTTAATATTTAAAATCTTATCTGATTCCAGTTTATTACCATCATCAGAAACAACAAAAACAATTTATCCAAATTTATAAATTTTTGTATAACTATAATCATTGTACGCGTAGGGTAACTTTATGATCACTTTGATATTCTTATGATTCTTCTTCTTTCTGTTTCTTTGGCCAACGATCCTGAAAATAAAGAATAGTAAAAATAAACCAATTGAATGATATCGCATTTTTAAAATAAAATGGGTAAATAAATGAATTTAAAACTGTAATTCCTATAAAGAAATAAAATTTATAATTTATGATAGCAGTTGTATTATAAAATATAAATTAATAATATTTGTCAAATATCAGCTAATCACTATGATCTAAACAAATGTATTAACTTGAATTGTTTCATAATTGAATCATTTATGTGTTTCTCTGTTGTACCAAAACTAATAGATATTAGAATATTCATTGAGAAAATGTTAATAATATTTATAAACCAAGCATTGAAGGATTAGATCAAGTAATATCATAGCCTATATTCTACCTTAGATATTCTACAGTAATATTCATTAGTTTACTGAAGGTTTTTGTAATAATTATGTTTATATAGATCAAGTCTTGATATTAAATGAACAAAATGAAAAGTCTGTAAACACCCTATAACCATGTACATAAAATATAATATATATATATGCACAAAATAGTGCATATATCTTATGCAATATTTTATATCAAAACAAGTTTTTATTGATACCGTTTATACTTGTAAGTTTACAATTTATGAAAATTAAGAAAATAGTTAGGAATTAATGTTATGAAAAAGTATCTTAACTTGCAGAAAACCTGAATAGTTATTTTTAAAATTAGTTAATTTAATAACTAACCACATAACCCTCTGGTAAAGGTCTTCGTGGGTAAGGACCAAAAGCGTCAAACCGACCCCACCACAGATCTGTTGAGAAAGCACCAATCATAAAAGCAAATATAATGGTTTGAACAACGACAGATGTTTCAACCATTGTTGACTTATTTTTAACTATTTTCCAAATATGTAACTACGAGTCGGTCAGTTGCTTCTGTAATTTATTCTGCTACATCCATCGATCCATTTTATGTCTAGGTATACGCTATATTGGCAATACTTATTTACTGTCATAAGACTGCCTATTCTTTTAGCGGCATGCTTTTAAATTTGTAATATGCACTATTATTTTTTAATAATATTTTGAGAATAATTACATAAAATTCGAGGTATTAAAAAGATCAGTTGTGAAAAAAATGTTTAAACAATAGAATTATGATTGATCTATTTTTATTTGAATTAATCGATCCTTTTAGGCCCCCGTCACATATGCGCATACACGCACAAAGCACTAGAAATATTGATGCCAACTACAAAATAGTGAATGTTCCGAACACGGAACATTTAACTTTTATTGTCCTTTATTTATTATGACGAAATATAGTGAATTTTTCGTAGTTGGTATAATCAACACTTTTAGTGATTTGCACGCATGTGTACACGACACACGTTCAATATCAATAATTTTTCGATACTCCGTGCGCAAAGTGCGTCTTTCCCGCACATTCGATAGAAAACGTGCGTTGAAAATCACACTTTCCACACGTCGTATCAAAAAATACGGTACGGCACATGTTAGGGAAAGAGTTTCTCGTCTCGTGTACCTTTCCACCCTCGCCTCGCTCGGGTGTAAACGCCACACGAGACAAGAATCTACTTTCCCGCACTTGTATCGTAATGTGCTATTTTTTCTAGGTGGCAAGGGATACACGCGACGTAATGTACGCGTCGCATGCAGGCACGCGCGTGCGCGTATTTGTGCAAAATGCGTAAACAGTCAGCGGCTGGAGTTTTACACGGCCACATTTTGTAATAAATTTTACTGTTTTCGTGAATATTCTCATTATATATACGTTTTGTTTTGTATTGTACTTTTCATACTAGATGGTAATAATAAATGAATAAAAATATTAATAAGTAACGTTATTGTATCTTTTAAATTAAATTCTCATTACCAATTTTTTAATGAGGAAATCAATTAAGTCGATTTAAAAATCAAAATAATTGTAAATTAATTTATGTTAACAAAAATAAAAATTAATGAAAATAATAATTCATCTGCGCTAAACAGATTTTCATAAAACTATAAAAAACAAAAAACTATTAAAATCAAAAAACTACGAGGCAAGGGATAAATAAGTAGAAATGTTTAAATTCCCATACAAAACATAGCGATTTTATTCTACAAATAATGGGATAAACTTTAAATTATTCACCTCTCTCTCTATTTCATTTTTTCTCATTGTTCATTTCATTTCATCATTTTTTTCTTTTGCTTAATTCATTGTTTTTTTTTTCATTATTCATTATCGTCTTCTCTTTTCTTTTTTTTTTTTGTAAATTCTTAATAGTTGGTGTATTTCGTGACGCGCGCATTATTCGACAAAGTTTTACATATAATAGCATACTATTTAATGGTATGCATAATTATAACAAATATCATCTTTCTCAACACTCAAATTTACACCAAAGTGTGTACTCGCACAAGTCATACATAATAATAATTATTATTTCATCTTCGAAAAGATTGTAATGCACAGCTAATCAAGCTTCCGAAAATGAAAGCGTCGATTAACATGTGATTTGTAAATATTACTTAGTACCGTACGCACGCAAATTTGATCGAAAGATATTATTTTTCTTACAATGTATGCAATAAAAAACATTAGTCAAAAAATTCACAGTTCTGCTATCGCCTCCAACTGCGTTCATCCTCCTCCTCTTCCTCCTCGTCTAGTAGTAAAGCTTCCACATCTGCAACATTCTGTTAACAAAAAGAACCCATGAATTAATCAATTGTCATTGTCATTACAAATTGCAATCATAATAATTTCAAAGGTAAAAGCATTAATTACCTCTAGATCTATTTCCTCGTCGGTCATACTCAACGACTGCAACTGCTCAGATCGTGGGGCGTTCGACGAAACTGATAAGTTTGTTCCAGCGGTGCTTGCACTATTACCTCCACCACGATGTAAATGATGACCAGCGACCCATGTGATGGAGAGTGTACGATCTTGGAAGTTTCGTCCTTTTGACATGGCTAATTCAGCCTCTTTTCTCGATTTATAATTGATTACAATCGAGGGAGTGGCGTCATCCACAATTTGATTCACAATCTCGCCGTATTGCTTTGGAAAAGTAAAAGTTAATTTTTTTCGACCTTGCTAGATTATAATACATACGTAAATAACAAATAACAGACCAATGGTTCCTTTGATGATCAATTGTAAAGACGATTTTTATGAAAAGACTTTTTTTAAACGGAGAACCAAAGTATGCATCAAAATAACAGTTTAATATAAAATAAAGTTTGGAAAACTCAAGTACGCCCGAACGTAAATGTCAGAGTTATATTTCAAGTCAAGAGAAAAAAATTGGAACGATCAACCTATAACTGAAAGTGAAAGTTAATATCGGTAGGGTTTATAAATTGCAAAACTAAAAAGATTCAAACAATCCTAAAAACAATCGTGTTTATCTAAAACAACATTATAAAATCAAACAAATATGAAATAAATTCGAAATATTGACGAAACAAGATTTAAATGTTTAAAACCTGCAAAATACGAATGATAAAAAAAATTTGAGATTCAACAAAAAATAATATACAATACCTGAAAGTGCGCTAAAACATCGGCTTTCTCTTCAGTTTCATAGCCGGAGACTAGAAGATTAGTAGGTCTATGATCAATGGATGAGTGAGCAAAATTTGCAGCTCCACGACCTCTGCCACGAAAACTAAGAGTAGCACCACGCATTGGTCTTGTCGGTCGTAGACCACGTCCAGCACCGACATTTGTTAGTCCCATTTGTGCAGCTTGAGTGCGCAATTCCAGTAATCTAAATGAAGAAAAGTGCGAATTATAAAACTGATAAAATATTATTTTCAGTCGATTCTTACCTCTTTTGCAATTCAGTAGAGTCCTGTCCCTCTTGTTGCGCAGTCATAAGATCAAGTTCGGCATCGAGAATCTCCTTTTGAGCTTGTTCCCTAGTTTTGGCTATCGATTTGGTGACAACGCTATTTGGCTGAGTAGTTGCTGGAGTAGCAAGGTCTTTTCTCAACCCATCGATCGACTGTTGAACAGTCTTGATTGTAAGCATAATCGCATCTTTCTGATCAGGATTCTTCTCAGCGCGCTCGATCAACGATCTAAGTTCAACCAGCTGCTTATCAAGCAATTCTTGCTTTCTTTTTCTTAAGTCAGCAGTGAGCTTCATAGCCTCTTTCCGTTTCTCTTCTTGCTTCTTCTTAAGTGTTTCTTTGGCTGCGAGAATTTCCTGAGTCTTTTTGATAGCTAATACTTTGTCTTCGCGTGTAGTTGGTGTAGTTGTCAACGAAACAGGTGGTCTAGCTGAAACGGGTGCCAACGGTTGAGCCTGCTGATGAGGTTGATTTTGCTGTTGATGATGCTGATGGTGCTCATCACGACGACTTGGCACATATTCATCGTCAACTTTATTGGGATTGTGTACGGGTTGACCAAGTCTATCTTTGACAGATTGTCGTTGCCCCTGCTTGCCAGGTGGCACGTTCTCAATTGCCCCGGCACCCGAATTATTGTTCATATTATTGTGCCAGAACACTTTGATGAAACGATTGTTAAGCACAGCCTCAGTACTCCTATATGCACTCTTAGCTTCACTGGGCAATTGAAAGGTAACGAGGGCAGCTTCGGGATCACCACCAAAGTTCACCTGAATGTTCACAATCTTGCCGAACTTGGAGAAATGATTGTTCAACTGTGTAATGTTGTTCAAACTCCTCGGCACTTTTTTTAACTCCAGCGAGCAGTTTGCTTGGTTTTGCACCGCACGCTGTTTGGGTCCGAGGCGATTAAAATCAAACGCTTGTTTACGTTTCAACGGATTGCCACTCGGTGGATGTGGATGTGATTGTTGTTGAGGCGGTGGATGATGTTGAGGTTGTTGTTGCATTGATATTTCAGTTGGTTCTGTGTGCTGAGCCACTGGTACATTGATCAGCTCGCGTTGTCCACGACCATAGATCACTGGTGGCTGTGGTGGTGGTGGATGACGACCCCATGGTACTTGTGGCTCCATGCTTGGTGCATCTGGATTATACTCTATGGGCATTTCTATAATTTAATGGGGAAAGGTATATTGACAATCGCGTTAGTTACGATGTATGAATGATTATATGAAGATTAGTTAATATGCAACATGCGGGTGACAAACCAGCAGTTTTCAAGAATGTTGAGCTAAATGGTCACAACATTTGTAATACTTGAAAACTTTTGGCGAAATAAGTGCACAATAACATTAATATGATACATAAGCCAGCAAAAATAATGTGAATTATGGTATACTAATTACTAGTTATGGTTGAAACAATGTAATGTAATGAATGAATGCAATGTACAAATGTAATGAATTTCAAATGCGTATTAATAATATCAAATCTTATTAAAACTTCGAATATTCTTTATGAAGCCTATTTTTCAACAAATAGCACAAAATCTAATCCATCAAAACTGCAGAAAACAATAATCAATACAGTAAACATTGAAAACAATTTTTTTTTAATTTGACAAGAAAAGTGGTAGACAAGAGACTACTACAAAAAAAAAAGCCGAAACCTATTATCATCAACTTTCAAGTCTACCTAAATCAAGAAACTCGGACAAACCCATATTAGCATGATGCTGATTGCGCAGATGAGGTGGCGGTAAACTAGCGAGAGGCAGATGAGTTGGAGGTGCGTTACCGTTCGGTCCACCTTGGGGTCCTGGTGGTACATCGGGTACCGTTGCAACTGGTATGCCCGCAGGTGCTTGAGCACTGTGTGGTCCAAATGTCAACACTCGGCTCAATGCTACATCTTCCAGAACCACTGGATCGATGCCGTGATCGTAGGGGCACAAGTCTCCTCGCATGCAGTAACCTTTTTCTATAAATATTTTCAGTTTTAATATTTGCTCTCGTTTATTGTGTGAAAGATTTTTTTCTCCCATTCAGCAAACGCATGCATGTTTGCTCAGATATTATATTATTATACATATGATTAATGTATTTTAATTACTTTTATCGACTTCAATGTTAGAATAAACAATATTTCTTCAAAGTGTAAAACCCATGGAAAACAAGCTTACGTAACATTAAAAAAAGCACATCGACAGTGAACTCACCATCGAAATCACGACACCGTCTTTTTGGACCAAAATTACCTCCCTGACCGGCAACGGATACGACACTCTGAATTGATTGACTAGTGGTGGAGAGCCTCATGTCGACATCACCGTGATTGCTGTCCTGAGTCGGTGTACCACCGGGGCTCAACACACCGTCTTGTAGGCGCTTTTTCCGATCTAATGAACGTGAACGAGATCTCACCGGGGATGGAGAACGATTACGGAAACGCGTTCTGTGTTCATTCGGACCATCTCTTATTCGCGAGCGAAGTGGTGATGTACTTCGGCTTCGAGTCCGCCTGTATATTGAATACAATGAATAATTAATGAGAGAGACTAAATTTATTTAGAAATTTAGAAAGAAAAACAGAAAAGAAAATTTTAAAAATAGGAAGGATATGAAAGATTATATTTACCTTCTGTCGTGACGACGAAGGTTGGGTGGCGACTTATTTCGCCATGGTCGACTCCTGTCTCTTTCTCTATCACGTCTGATGTGATCTCTACTCCTGGACCTACGCCTGTCGCGCTCCCACGATCTCGAACGTGATCTCGTTCGTGATCTTGGTCTGCCACTGTTTTTGAAAAAACAAACAGTGTTTTAATCAATCATCATTCTACTTAAAAATTCTTTTTATAAATTGAAAGATGGTTAATACATACCGACTACGTGGTCGTTTTTCTCTTTCTTTCTCCTCCTTTTCAGACTCAGATTTTCTTAGTTCACGTTTAATAGTCACTGTTGAGGCTGACCCATTCAAATGTGGAGTTGATACTGTGTTTAACACAATATTGCTTATTTCACTAGCAGGTGGTGTCTGGGCAGCCGTTGTTGGAGGAGTTCTACTACCTTCTTCCTCCATTTTCACAATGGGTAATGTGAAATTCTGTGTTTCTAGTGTCTTGAATAACAAATCTACAAAACTCTGAGTCTCTACAATGAAAATAAATTGTTTAATAAATACAAATTAAACGGAATATAAAACATTTACTTTGAATTAGAAGCGTACCTTGTTGTAAAAATACATCAAGCTGCTCTACCATACCAATCCTTAGTTCGTCTAAAGTCTTATCTTTCTTAACTAATGCATATACATATTTTGCTAACGCAGCTGGATCCGCATCACATCTGAAAGAAATGAAAAATATATTAGTTTGATCACAACCATGCTTTAAACTTTCAATGTATTCGACTTGAATATCATCAATAGACCACTCAATAGCATTGCTACCATATTAACTACAATTGACTTCAAAGTAATCAATACATCTCTAATTATTCTTAAGCACACTCATCAAGTCTGATAAGCTTCAAATTAATAGTTTCCAAACTAGCAAAGGTCAGCACACTAAATTTTCCAAAATTGATCGATTACGTACACTCGTAAACAAACAGACACGCGAGCACACAGCCATCGAATAATTATCAAGCGGAACAATTCCGAATTAATTAATTCAATAATTACTCTAAAATTCAGACAGACGATATCAAAGACGTATGGTATACGGAAAAATCGCAAATTTTCGGAGTACGAGAAGACGTCATGACATACACATACACGTACATATTCATGATAGTAGGTTCTTGATACTACTACACTCTCGACGCGTAAACATAAAATCCCCCCCCTTCGGCAACGCGACCATACATTGCTTCTGATTTTCGTAACCTATACGTTTTTTTCATTTTTTCCATCAAAAACTTGAACCTCCAGTGGTACATTCAGTCAAAGGATAGTGGAGAGATGCAAGAAAAAGAAAAAAAAATGAATCTGGTGGTTAAGGTAATAAAAGGTGGATGGAGTTTGTAGCCGAGACATGGCGCGTTTTGATGGCCTACTTACAGCGGCTCCAACACGGCTGTAAGCCACGCCTTGAATTGCTCCGGGTTGTCGATGATCATCCTGCTGAGGCCACAAGGCCGCACAATCAATCTCGTCAATGTTCTTCGCCAGAGTACACGATACTCTCAACGTCTCGCGATTACTGCTGCTTCGCTACTGCCACCGCTAGAACAACGTCGCCATTGCTGAGTTTTCGCGCGTCTGTGTGCGTGCGTCTGTCGGTGTAATACTTTGCGCTGCTGTCGACTTCCGTGCGATTGGTATACGGGTACCCCTCACAATACATATGGTTCATTTGTAAGAGCAATATATAAGAATTTTTCTCGGAGAATATCAAATGGGTGGTAGTATTTTTTTTATACTACACAGGAGGAATGTCCTTACTGGATTATAGTTTCATTTTTTAATTTTTCAGGTGACTAAATGTACATGCTTGAATGAAGTGGTTTGCATTCTATGTCAATTTTTATGCAACATTAACGTAAAATGTGTTTAACCATTTTTCATTTCGCTCGAAATATTTTATTTTTTATAACTTTTCTTTTTTATTAGAGGAAAATAATTGAATATTTCTATTTTATTTATTTTTAATAAATAAGTCAAGTTGATTATAAATCCTTGCTTTCATAATATGGGTAATTCTTGGCTATTTCGATTGACTTGTAACCCTTAGGTTACGGATTTTTTTTTAATTTGGCACAATTATTGTACACATAAAAGTGAGATTTTTTCCAAATTTTTAAGACGATACATTAGTTATATCAAAAGTTATTAACAATTAAAGAAAAATAATAAACAATTTTCAAACGGCTGTATTTTAAAAACTAATAAAGATATCGAAGTCGGATTTTTTTGAAAATACTTATAATGCCTTAAAATTTCGAAATAATTACAACAGTAAATAATAAAAAATTTTTTTCGAAAATTATTAACTTTTTGTTTAAAAAATTGCTAATATCTCGAAAAGTATATGTTTTTTTGAAAAATACTTGCTCCTGCGTGTTTCTGAGGATTTTTGCTATCGAAATCAATCATAAAATTCAAGGGCCCGACATATCAGAAAGCGTAGCCTTAATCAAAAGAAGACGCCTCAGCGTAAGACCACGAAAACGTCCCGCTGCCGTTGCGACGTACACCGAGGCATCTTTTGATTAGGGTTACGCCTTACGATATGTCGGGCCCTTGAATTATATGATTGATTTCGATAGCAAAAATCCTCAGGAACACGCAGGAGCAAGAATTTTTAAAAAAAATAATATACGTTTTGAAATATTAGCAATTTTTTAAACAAAAAGTTATTATTTACTGTTGGAATTATTTCGAAATTTTAAGGCATTATAAGTATTTTCAAAAAAATCCGACTTCGATATCTTTAATACTTTTTTAGATTAAAGCTAAAGTACCTTTCGACCGTGAGTCCGCTGGAGCGCTACCGCAGCCTTACGCCGAGGCGTCTTCTTTTGATTAAGGCTACGCTTTCCGATATGTTGGGCCTTATAAGGCATTATAAGTATTTTCAAAAAAATCCGACTTCGATATCTTTATTAGTTTTTAAAATACAGCCGTTTAAAAATTTTTTATCACTTTTCTTTAATTGTTAATAACTTTTGATATAATTAATGTATCGTCTTCAAAATTTGGGAAAAATCTCTTTTATGTGTACAACAATTGTGCTAAATTAAAAAAAATCCGTAACCTAAGGGTCACGAGTCAATTGAAATAGCCAAGAATTACCTATATATCAAAATAACTTGGGAACTGTAATAATTTCAGTGAAAACAAGATCATTTAGGCATGAAAATAATAAAACAGTTTTATTGTTCTTAAAAATGCACTTTATTCCTCATCTTGAACAACTGTCGTTTTTTCAGATACATACAATCCATCCAAGAACTTTCTAATATCCTTGTTTTTAACAGTGGTAGACTGTTGAATGAGTGCAGCTGGAATAACAATATATTACTGATTAATTGCATGATAGATATATTGAGAAAAAATTGATTCAATTATTCATTTTATCTCAATTAAGTTCATTTATAATTAGTTTTCATATTGCTATTTAGAACTTTTCTGTATATATTTAAGAATATTTTGTTACGTGTGGTGAAATTTACTTGTAGAATGTAACTACAAGTGTATTAATTATATACTATAAAAAAATGTACTACATTTAAAAAATCTAATCCATTCTTAATAACTAGGAATATAAATTACATTTGCAAAAAAATAAATGATTTAACGTAAAATTTAATTTAATGAACTAAATTAAATATAATGTTAGAATAATAAATCAAGAAAGGTATTTCAAACTAATATATATATATATATATATATATATATATATATATATATATCACTTATATGTATTATTTAATATATATCAGAAACATTAATTTAATAAATATTTTTTATCAATTATTACTAAAAAAAATGATAAATTATTTATTTTGTGTTTTTGAAATTCAATAGAAACTATGAAAGATGAAAAAAAAACTACCAACATCAAAAATATTATTTCAATTCAAGATACAAGCACAGATCTTCAAGAAGTGAATCTACCAAAACAGCTAATATATAATATAAAAAACTTATAGAATTGTACCTGATCGTGAAACATCTTCCAAGGAATTTCCTTCCAGAATTAGTTCGTCCTTTTGTTTTTGTGAATTTGTTACAGTAACACCAGGTGCCATCTTTACCCTACGGATGAACTTTTCCCCCAAGAAATTACGAATTTCAATAACTGTGTTATTTTCAGTAGTAACACAGTTGATGGGAAAATGAGCATATACAGCTCTCATTTTGTATTGGTAACCTTTGGTTACTCCCTTTAGCATGTTTTCAATGTGTGAGCACACAGTACGTACAGCAGCTAACTCTTTTTTGGTACCAAACCATTTTTCAACCTTAAGTAATCTAGGGTTGATCATCTGAAATATAAAAATATAAATAATATTAAAATCAAATTCAATATGAATAGTGATAGGGATATTGATGTTTTGAACAAAATTTCAGTTAAGTATCTATCATTTATAATTAAATGAAGGGGAATCCATTAAATCATCATTTACGTTCAGTTAATTAAGTAAGTTAGAGAAAACTAGACTAATTAAATTTGCAAGTTGTTTAAATTGAAATAGTTTTCATCAAAAATAAGAGTTTGGAGCAATCTGTAATAAAAAAATGAAAATTAATAAACCCACACGAATATCAAGAGCCAAGTGCTTGAATGAACGCTTCAAGACTCCTCGTGGCCCTTTAACTGTAATAGTCCTGGATTTGACGGAGCAAGTCAATCCTTCTGGGATTTTCACTGTTTGGTTCGTGACAATCTGCTTCATTTTGTAGGTGCTAAAAAATAAATGCAATTTTAAATCAAACTGTTTACTTTAGCACTCTATAACAATGTAACTAATGTTGTAGGTAAATAAGTAATACATAATAGCAACTTTTAATATACACAAATATTTTATAAATGGTTTTAAAAAATCTATCAATTAGAATAGACGTCTATATTTTTGATTATTTTTAAATTGCTACAATTTTTATTGATATTTTCAAAAACAATACTGTTTGAGGTTATGATAGTACGATTTACAAGAGTCAAAAATTGAAAGAAATATTAATTAAATAATATAGAATGATGATTAAAAAATGTTGTTTTATGATTCAACGAGAAAAATATAATTTTTCATAGCTGATTCTAGCGGCTGAAATATTGCTCAAAATTCCATATTACCTCTTGCACGTCCCTTAAAAACCGGAAAGAGAGGTGCGGACTATGGAGCGGGAAGACAGGCTAATTCTCCAATAGATACGAAAATTGTACGCAACAAATTGCTGCCAACTTACAATTCAATTTTACAATTTCATGCAACATAATCTCAATAATGATAACAAAATTATCCCAACTTAGAAACGTTTTTTTATATTATATTTAATCTGAGTAATATTTTAATGGTAACTATTTAATTTGAATATTTTTTACATTTATTAAAATATACTTGTATTTAAATTTATCTAATCATTTTGAGGTTATATTAAGCATTTGTCATTTCAAGTTGGCAACAGTAGAAAATCCACTAGAAATTGTCGCGTACAATTTTCGTGTCTATTGAAAAATTAGCCAAACGATTTGACTTAAAATCCACGAATCACTAAATAACGAGATTGGAAACTACATGAGCCATTATTTATAACTGGAGGTCGCTGACGCTACTTGTAGTTAAATTTGGAAAAATTATAAAATATACTGCAGACTGGATATTTTGTTTTTTATTTTATATTTATAAATTTATATTTTATTATTCATTATAAAAATACTTTGAAAACTATACTTTTTCTTAACCATGATTTAAATACTTAATTTATATTATTAAAAAATATGAATCATTTTCGTTCCTCTTTTGCTAGTACGATGGTTTTGTCTGATAGTGCTAAAAATTGAATCAAAATCTTTGGATCTAATTTATAGGTTGTTATTTCTGTTATAATTGTTCGACGAAAACAATTCCTGAGAGTTTCCCAAGAACGATGAACTAAATACTGCAAATATTAATTAATATTGGAAAATAGATTTAATAAATAGAAATCAAAATAATTAATATAACTTACCCCATCTGAAATCATTTTTTCATAAATTATTTTTCCTTTGCTATGTGCTATTCCATTTTTATTAATAAGATACTTTACAAGAATTTTCTTTTCTACTAATGAAAGAAATTTCCTGTAAAAAATTTCCCTTGTGAGTTTTGAATAGCAGTATTCAATATAATCAATCTACTAGTAATCACTATTATTTAGTAATTGCATAAAATTATTTTACCTTGGTAGAAAATGAGTTGGATGAGCTACAGGCTCATAAGAGCATGCTGGGAAGGTACATCTTTCTTTTTCAGGAATTTCATGAGGTAGCCACCATTTATGTCTAAATCAGTTATATTAATTTATGAATAAAAATTAATATATATAAATCCCTCTATACAGTTCTGTACAATGACATAAAATTTACCTCCCGAAGTAAGCGTTATCCTCTTCATCAAAAATCTCTTGAGTTTTTTGATCAGATAACTTAAATGTCATTTCTGTTTTTTTAGGAGCTATTTTGTTTGGTAAAGAATAAATCCATCCAGAGTCACCTTTATTAAACGTTGGTAGTTGTTTCTTTTTCTCATGGATACTGGAATCACTTGAATAATTATCATCTTCTAAACTGTTTGCATTACTATTTTTTTTAACTACTTTTTGCTTTATTTCATTATGAATTTCCTTAAATTTCTCTTTTCTCGATTCTTCATAAGATTTATTTAAAAAATCTGTATTATTCTCATCACTGTCGTATTCAACACTGTTTTGAAGCAATGTACAATCATAGACTGTTTCATTTAAACTACTTGAATTTTTTGATCTTTTTCTAGGAGGACTTTTAGTTATATGAATAGATTTGCGTTGTTCTTCATCGTTAAAATGACCTGTATTTGATATAATAAATGAGTTTGAATAAGTAAATATATTTCTATCAACTTTCTTACTTGGAAAATTTGCTACTTTATCTGTACTTTCAAAATTTGAATCCTTGATACCTAAACTTTTAACAGATCTATAATCTTCATTAGTTTCTTTTTGAGATTCTATATTACTTTTAGCACATTCTTTGCAAAAAACAATTTCATAATAACATCTACAAAAGTATTAGAACATCTTACTGACGATATATTTTTCCAAACGACAAATGAACAAATAGATTTAAAAATTATATTTTATAATACTTGTGACATGAATCAGTCTTAAAGACAAACTTTGAAGCATAGCAGGACGGTTCCAGATTTGATACTTGATGATTGTGAGTAGGGATAAGCCTTTTGAACAATTTGCAATTTTTATTAAAATTGTACATAATACAAATAATGTATCTAATTTTTCTTACTTGTAATTATGTAAATTGGAGGAATCCATGGTCTCTACAGCTTTAACGATGTAATTGATGTCGTACAAGTTTTCCTTCATATTTTCTTGCTTTTGAAAATAAGATAGTTCCACAAAAGTGAATAGAGCATCATCTGAAACCTCAGCTCCCATATCCTATTAACAAAAATATATTAAACAAAGCAATAGGAATGAGATCATGTGTTAAATTTAAAAAGAATAATATTAATATTTTTATAAAATATAGTAGGAAGTACCTTAACTAATTTAACGAAACCTGCTTTCGTTTTCTCTTTCAATCCTTCAAAATTAAAACAGTAACCTTTGAATAAATACTTATACTTTTCAGCAACTTTTGTCGTAATTTCACTCATTGTCAAGCAGTGAAAAATGTTTCAAAAACGAACAAAAATGTCTATTCCTCGTCAAACAATAAGACAAAGATCAAGCTCCTTATGAAAGTATGTTTATTTATTGATACTTAACAGTCAACGCTCTGGTTTATTTTCTTAACTTTTATATTCAATAAATCGTTCAATGTATAGAAACTTGAATAATTTGGAAAGTCTATTTAGTTTTTTGCAAAATACAAAACAGTAAAACACGTATGAAAGATTATCAGTGAATTTTCCTTCCGAGACATGTTGTTCAAATCTTCTGAGTACCGCGAAGTATCATGTTTCATTTAGACAAAGAACAAAGGCTGAACAGAACTGTATTGAAAAAGGCGCTGCAATCGCTCGAAAATTCAGGCATTACAACAGCGTTCAATATCCACCTTTTCTATGTTGTAATCGGTGGTCAAAAGCTACTGCTGCTGCGTGGATAGCAAGAGAAAAACTCGGCAATAAAGTGACTTGCGACCCTTGCCCTGAGGACGAGTAAAACGATAAGTGCTGATAGTTGGCCGTAACAATGGCTTCTCTGTGCAGACGTGCGATTTTCCAAATCGCTAGGCGTCCCTTGCATATAACCGCTGTACGAGGTAAGTATAGTATGGATAAATCTTCATGCACTCGCACTGTTTTGCTTTGTACACTCTTAACATTACGTAATGTAGGGGCGAATAATACGCATTTTTGTTAATTTAATTTTGTATACCACTATCACTGCGTTAAAGAGGAAAATCAATTGCAGATTCTGTTATTCACCAGGTCGAATTTTTTATTTTTCCAGCGGAAGAAAAGATGGCTGAGCCGCTCGATCATGCGACTGGTCTCGAGAAAGAGGAGCTCTTAGCTCAAATTGCTGGCAATGATGTGAGTACATTCGTTAATTCAGTTATCAGTTATCAGTTACTACCTAGTTTAGATCTTGTACAGTATTGTGGTTCTAATGTTAATTTTATTGTGCATTAGAACTTGGATCAGAGTACATATTCAAAACGTAACTTATGAAAAGATGCTCTTATTTAAAAATAGTTTTCGTGTAGTTCAACTTTATCTAGTTTTTATTTGTAGCTGCTAAAATCTATGAATTATTAAATGTTCTTGCATGTTAAGTGTCATAAATATATTTACAGAATAGAATTTTCTCATATTATTGTAGTATATAGTAATTATACTTATTCTTATCAAGTTGATTATCTATAATGAAATAGATTGAAGCGATAATAGACAATGGTGATCTACAAATTTAAATTATTTTATTACTACAAAGTGAGTGATAACCATTGCTTAGTAGTAAAGATTCCTAGTTTAACATTATGTATATAAATACTGAAAGTTTATCTATATATTGAAGCTTTCAAGAAAACATAAATTGTAGGGTTTAAATTTTTTAGTTTTCAAAGTTTTTCTTAATTTCCATTCAAGAAATACTCAGCTTTTCGTTTGAACTTCTATATAAAATTTTATTTTATTGGAAAAATGAGATTTCATGTTGTATCAATCTAGCAGATTATATTCAAATAATATAATTAATAGATATAATTTATGATAATATATTAAATCTATAATTTATCAATATTTTAACAATATTGTTACATTTAAAATTACGATCAATGTTGCAAGAATAATAAATGGTACCATCTGTGACATAACTTGTCAATAACTATACACAACAGAATTTTGTATACATATTTGATATTACATAGTTTTCACAATTTTCATGAAAAATAATTCATATATTTTTTTATTATCTCTTCCTTATATCTACATTTTTATGATGAAGAGGCATCTCTCATATTAACATGTTTTATGTATGTTTCTGTAGTAGAAATATTTTCTAGTGTTCCCTATCAAGTTATAGTTATTCATATTCACTATTTAAGACAGGAGAAAGCATATACTAGAAACAGTAGTCCAACTATCTTTGTAATTATTGTGAAACCCATGACAATATTTCCTATAAAAAATATTTTATATAATTCACCTGGGATTTGAACCTTTGCTCTTTATGTAGAAAGCAGATAGGCATTCAAATCATTGAGGTACCGGGTTGTTAAAAATAGTTAATATTAGCAACAGATTATGATTAGTCACTCAAGTTTTTATAAATTTTACTTTGATTATAGATCAAAGAAAATTTTGTCATTAAATACTTGAACTAATTCATTGTTTTTGTAGGACCCGTTTGACACTAAAGTTATGAAACGTGGACCAGGCACCAAAGAATGCCCAAATCTAGTAGGTAGCTACTTCAAAAGTCGACTTGTTGGTTGTATTTGCGAGGAAGATCAGACTCACATTAATTGGATGTGGCTACACCAAGGCAAACCTAGACGCTGTGAGTGTGGTCATTGGTTCAAACTGGTTGAGAGAACTGCAACCCCAGCCCAATCTTAATCACCTCTTGAAATAAGCTAGTCGATTGTTTGAACTTTCTACCTTGGAGTTACTGCGTTACATTAGATAACAATCAAGCTATAGGGTGGAACTTATTTGCATCAAACATCAATCTACGAAATTTTTTTTTTCTGAGGAAATAAGAATTCATTAAGAAAAATGTAAATTACTTGTAATAAAAAGAATACATAATGTTGAAAGTAAATAAGTCAAGCTGTCCTCCCTAAAGTTAATTTTTATTGCTCTGCAAATAAAAAATCGTTGAAAATAAGTTATGTAATATTAATTTTAACAATTTTTTTGCAAAAATCACTTCATTATCTGTAGATATTAGATGCTGTAATCTATATACTAACTAAAAGACATTGATATTTATATAACAGTTTTCAAAAGTTTATTTTCCCAATATATAATAATCAAAAGAAATTATAGTAACATTATTAAACATAGGACATCCCTTTCACAAAAGAAAACAGTAATATCGTGTACAAAATGCAAGTGAAAAAAAGGATAAAAAACATTAATATAATCATTTACTAAAGTTGTTGATAGCTCTTGTTTGTAGAAATGTCATTAACAAGACTAAAGTTATCTATATAGAGCTAATATTTATTATCTACTATCTATAAACAAAATTTTTAACTTTTTTTTTTCTATACCTGTTGAATCCATACGTTATGGATACATATAACCATGTAGCATTGAATATGTACAAAATCTTACTTTCATAATTATTAAATCAATGATAATATAATATTGGTGTTTAATCAAAAACAAAAACATTGAATTTAATTACTTTCATTTTTCACTTTAAAAATATCTTCACTTTTCGATTTGGCAAAAGACTCGTCTTGTTCTTTATTGAAATCATTAATTATCTGAGATTCTGAGCTTTCTTGCTCAGTTGTTAAATTTTCAATGATTGGTGTTGGCTGATAAGAACTTGACGTCTGTGACTGATTAGAGTCCAATTTTTTCTTGAGTTGACCTACCACTGTTACATATGTTGAGGGAATCAAACCAACATTTATACTGTCTGTAGCTCTCCACCATCCAGGCAAATTTTTAGGTTGTAAGGACTGGGGTGCAAGCCACACCTTTTGGCCGGTTTTAAGAGACAATTCTTCATTTGATGCAGCAGTAAAGTCATAAATCGCAGTTGCAGTGTGAACTGGTTCTTTGTTTTGCAACCATTCCTTAGGATTATTAACTGCAAAGTAAAAAAAAGGAAAAGGTTGTAAAATATATTTCTGAAAAATGTTATTTAAATTTTATTTACTTAATATATTTAAGTTACCATTAACGCTAATATTTTTTGCATTACTGACTAATTTATGAATTAGATATGGAGTGGCAAAGAGAATGCTTAAAAACACAAAAATTGGCCATGAGGATGTACCATTTTGTTCTGAGCTACCATGTAAAACTTCTGATATTGTTTCTCTCCATAAAACTTCACTGTTCAAGTTTTGGTTTCTTAGGCCTATAACAAATTAATAGTTATAGAAAACATTGTATAGAGTATTCACATAAAAAAAATATTACTAATATATTCTGTATTTCTTTACCAAGCATGTATTTGACTTTATAATATAACCATTTCATCAGTCTAACAAGAGCAAAACTGCTAAAAAGCTGCTTCAGCATTGTTCTAAGTTTACCCATATTGTCAGCCACCCCTAAAATTGCTCTAAAAGAACTTGTCATAGCAAAAAACGTTGATTCCAACATCATAGTAAGAGAAGAGAAGGTATGAACCATTGCTTCTATCGACTGAAAAGCTGGTCTTGTACTTTCTTCAGCATATTGTACAAATCTGGAAAAGTAAAAAGATCAGAATAGTTTATTTTAACTAATTATAATATATAGAATTACCTATTTTCTACATCTCCACTAGGACTTCCCCACTGATTCTGTCCATACATCGAATATCCAGGATAAGATCCTATACCCATACCCATTCCCATACCATATCGTCCGAATCCATAACTGTTGTAGCCAGATCCATATCCATAACTACTTAAAGATGATCCCAAATATGAAGAACCAAAAGGACTGTATGACTGGTACGTAGACACAGGTCTTCGTGGGGGAACTGGTGGCGGAGCTATTGCAGAAACTCCGGACTGAGCAACTCCCATTGGCTGAGGAATTCTATAGAATCATACATCTATGAGTTTTTTATTATACAGAACATTGTCTGCTAAATTATGTAATCAAAACATATTGAACTTTAAGATTTTTAAGCTATTGAGAAAATGATGAAAATTTTCCAATATTTACAATTTATATTAAATGCTTTAAATATTTTTACTTGTAACTACGATTTTTTGTTTATCCAGTGATAAGTTAACAAATATGCTGGTAACTCTAACAAATATTTACCCATCCATAATGTTAGAAGCATTGTGAAAATGTGTGGAGCCAAGGGCATTTGTTCTCTGTTGATTCATCATGGTATTTTTTCAATTTAATAAATTTGAAACGATTTGTTTATTTTGTACTCAGATTTAAAACTTTTTTAAGTTTCAGGGCACTTATCAAGTTATTCAATCATCAGTTATTGACTTAAAAAGGCTGCCGTAAAAAGTAACTCAGTGTCGAAAATTAGTTTCCTGAAAAATAAAGCGTAGTGCGAGAGGATGACTTGCATGTTATTATAAATAAATAGATAAATCTCTAATGCAGATATGATAAAAAAAAAATGAAGTAATTTGATAAACTTCCAATTGGATTCGGCCCTAAAGATTGCTGTGTGGCATGTGCTTTCACTGTCTTGCTTTATTATTACTTACCATTTTTGTCTATCTCCTTTTGACTTGTCGTATCATTTTCGTTTAATTGGAACTAATTAACAGTGTTAAAAAAGAGAAAGATACACTTCAATGATGCTAGGAATCTCGAAAATCAAACTAATTTTGCCACTGACTACACTGATACATTTATATTATCTATATGACCAAATTACTGCAGTAAGGCAGTATTCTCTGGCTTCTAACCTATCAGCAAATGCTTTCGTGAGAAATGATATCTACTACCACTAGTACAGCGGGGCAGGTTGTGTTTGAAAGTGTGTGACATGTATGTCATTATCGCGTCTGTCAGTGAAAATCCATAAACATAATATTTTTCAATCAAAATAATGATTCATATCATCCGTAGTTAAAAAGAAATAGAAATCTTAAACTAGTTGCCAGCTGTATAACTGCATAAAGAACCAAAAGAACGATTGCCGCCTTGCAATAACAATAGATTGGATGGTTGCAAATTTTACAAATTGAATTCAATAAGTATGTAATTAAATTAACCTAATCCTTTGTGAATTCTTTATAGCTTTATGAAATTTTCAAATAAAGCTAAATTAATAATCATGGGAGTCGGAAAAAGCCAGTTTACCGATGAAGAACTTCAGGATTATCAGGTTAAGACTGTTTAACTATATAATTGCTTAATTATTACTGCTTTAACTAATTACCAATCAAATTACTTGTAATTATATACAAGCACTCATGAGATTGTAATATTTGTATATTTTTTGCAGGACTTGACATATTTCACAAAGAAAGAAGTATTATAGTGAGTATTTAGATAAACAACATACAGAATTAGCTTTATTGATATTCATTATACATTAATATTTAACAAAGTAATAAATATTTCAGTGCACATCAAAAGTTCAAGTCACTTGCACCAGAAAAAGTAGGGCACAACAAAAATGTTAAATTACCAATGTCTAAAATATTACAATACCCAGAATTACGAGTAAATCCATTTGGAGATAGAATTTGTAAAGTATTCAGTTCAAGTCAAGATGGTGATTGTACGTTTGAAGACTTTTTAGACATGATGTCTGTATTCAGCGATGCTGCTCCAAAAGCTGTGAAAGCTGAACATGCCTTTAGAATATTTGGTAAGCATATAATTACAATTTTTATATTTAGATTCAAAATAAATTCTTAATCAAGTATATATATTATATAAATAGATTTTGATGGAGATGACATGTTGGGAATTGGTGATTTGCGTCAAGTTGTAGATAGATTGACAGGAAATAAAACATTGAGTGAAGGTGACATGCAACAATTGATTCAGTATTTACTAGAAGAAGCTGACCTGGATGACGATGGAGCCTTGAGTTTTGCTGAGTTTGAACATATTATTGAAAAAAGCAGTGACTTTTCGAAGTCAGTATGGTATAACTTATTAATTATAATAAGTTTTGGTCATATTAGGAATAATATTTATTATTTTCTTTCAGGACTTTTAGAATAAACTTATAAATTATTGAACCACAACTAATTTGAAAGACTGACATTATGTTGTAGTTTATACTGCAAGAGATAATAAGAGAAATATTATCTAAAATACATGTTCAAAATGTTAGTTATTCAGACAACAGTAAATAATACTTCAAAGTATTACACGAGACATTTGAATATAAAAATATTTATCATAGTATCCTAATATTTATTATAAATCCTTCTTATGGACACTATACCAAGTATGTTTTTATGAATGTTTATGATTATTCATATTTGTTTTCTATGTATTTATATCTTTATATAAACTGTAAACTAATATGTAAAAAAACTGTAAAAAACATTAAAATATTTAAAAATACATCTTTCTGGGTAATTTATTTTAAGAGGTATGTGATATTAAAAACTAAAAATGTATAGAATAGTTTCTATTAAAATATATAACAATATATATTAATATATAAAAATATATAGATTGCATAGATATGAGATAATTTATTAACAGATATTTTATTTTTCTCTTTTTTTTTCAATGTCCAAAAAACATTGATGGATTAATTTTATTTGTAAATATCTTCTGAAAATATTAATATTCATATAATTTAAGTAATTTTACAAAAATCAATAGTACTTACGGCAATTGATATAAAAATGATATAAAAATACTAATGAATCCCACACTAATCAATAATATTCTAATAAATTTCTACATGGTTGGGCATACATTACAATACAAGTGCGGGAAAGTAAATTTTTGTTTCGTGTCGTGTTTACGCCCGAGCGAAGCGAAGGTGGAAAGGTACACAGGACGAGAAACTTTCCCGAACATATGCCGTACCGTATTTTTTAATATGGCGTGTGGAAAGTGTAATTTTCAATGCACGTTTTCTGCCTAGCGTGCGGGAAAGACGCACTTTGCGCACAGAAAAAAAAAAGTATCGAAAAAAGTATTTCAAGAACGGTTTTGGACGTAAAATTTTCCGCTCTATCCGATTTCGACGTTAGAAATAGGGATTCCTATTTAAAAACAAAAATTAATCTTGAAAAATTACCTCAAAGTTTAATTGAAGGTGACTAAAAGTTGACCCCCATTGGCACGAACAATTTTCGTTTAATCCATTTTTTTGCATCTAACTTGCATTCGGTTATATTTGACTGCATAGACTGAAATGAGACACTGTTTATATGTGGACTTTTTTGTTTATATCTTATAAAATTATATTCTGGTTGCAGTAAAATACATGTAATTATGCTTTATTTCTTAAAAAAAATTTTAATTAAATTGACACTCTAAAATTTACTAAAAGATTAAATATAATTTCACGTTAACAAATAGCCCAATTTAAACATTTGTATTTGTACATAAGAGTATTTTTTGTTTAATTCTTAATACTCCAATGTATTTCATCTATTCATATGACAAAATTATACAATAATAAGTTACGCATAAAAAAAAATTTACTGTGCATTGAACGTTTGGGTACATAAATCAAGTAAATTAAAAATGCAAATTGCTTGTTTTTTCAAAAGTATTATTCTTGAAAATTATAAATAACCACTTCTATTTAGGTTTGGTAGGCTAACTCGTTTTTGAACACTTCTCTTTCTTTGCCTTCTTTTTTATTCTGAAGAAAGTACTAGTCCTTAAAGCATTACGTGTTCGTTTAGCCCTGCGAAGCTTGAATCTGTCAAAGTCACTAAGTTCGGCACGCTGAAAAATAAAGTTTTACTTATAAGTCCTAGGTAAATTACTACATATTAAACCTTTACTTTGATGTTTTAGATATTTAACATACTACAAGTAAACTAAAATCATATTCTATCAATAATTTGCGAGATATATATTTGTGGGTATTAGTTTTACCTTTTTCTTTGCTTCAACTTTTCTGGCCCACATACTTTGTTGCCATTTTCCATCAATGTCTGCGTCATTCCAAGCCTTCTTCACAACAGTACTGTTTGCAGTGAATGGAAACTTGATGCGGAACTTTGTAAGGTGTAGATCACTCAACCTCATTTGGTCACGTGGGATATTGGATGTAGGTCCATCAACCAAAACCTATAATTTTTAATAACCGTGATACTTTTCCAAGGAAGCAAATTTTTTCAATGATTACAGTATGTTATAATATCAGAGAAAAAATTGGCTTCAGTTAAATATCAGCCGGCAATTCCTATCAAGAATAATGGTTCATCATTGAGAAAAATATAATTTGAATTGAAAATTTAGGATTTATATTGGATCAATTACAAATAGAATGTCTTGATTAATATATCGTTTATACAAACTAAAATGTACACCTAAGTACAAAATATAAAGACAACAAATTCATTATTAACTAGACCACTTACTCTGTTTTGATCAATGATGTCAACAATGGTGACCAGTTTACCCTGGTGTGGACCATTGCTGACATAAGCAACTCGCCCTGTCTCGACAAACCTTTCAAAAGGCTAGAACAGAAGCAAAATAATAATTAGGATCTATTTTACCAGAAAGATTATGAACAAATACATGAAATCAATAGTTTAACTATTAGTAACTTCAGATAATCTGTTGACTTCAGTTATATGTCAGTCAGCAATTCCTATCAAGAATTAAGGATCATCATTTAGATTAAGAATATAAGATTAATTCAAAATTATTCATTTTTTTTAACTGAAAACACACTAATTGAATATGTAGTAGAATTCTTAATTTTTTAACATATTATTTTTACACCTTTATCAATCATACAAACAAAATATTTAAATAAACAAGCATAGAATCGCGCAAAAACGTCACCCTAATGAATATAGATTGCCAATTTTAACATACCATGTTGATAAAACTCAATTTAATAATTACTAAATAGGCCAATTATAATTAAAATGAAACTGAGAATCAAATAATAAGCATTACCACGTGTCGTGGCTAATTTTTAAAAGGTTAGGGTCAAGAATTCGACAATTTAAAAAAATTTAACATACTTATTCGGAATAAAAATCAAGTAAGAATGGTGTAAAAAAATATAGTTTTTTGAAAAGGTAGATTGCATGCATTTGATTAATATTTAGTATTGAAAATTTAATAAAATCATCAAATGCTGGAATAGAAAAACTTTCTTACCATAATGCCGGACAAGATAATAAGAAACTCTACTCAGAGAGTGATCGGATTCTCAGCACTGCTGTTTGCTATGATTGGCGGGAACATTCGTGTAGTTTGAATGTGTCGTGCTTATCTTTTTTTTTTTATAAAAAAGGAGTCACGTACGATCGAGCTATGATCGACAATAGTTCCCTGGGTAACATTCAGAGTTTAAATAAGATAATCGGTTAATTGATAGGAAAGTTGTGACGATGCCTTGTTATTATAGAAAATAATTCGTTCAGGTGAGGGCTGACCTCCTACTGCCGTCCGTTTTATCGCTACCCAGCTCTTCTACCACATTTCCTTCTCCGCCTCTTTCGACAGGATGTAGTTTATATTTTTGTAATCCATTACCTTGTTGACATAAACCATCCCTTATGCTTCTACACAAATGTGTATAGATATTTTTACAAAAGAAAGAAAAAACAAAGAAACATATTCTTTATCTGCATGATTTTTTACATAGCTATCTGCAGAAATATTCCATAAGTATATCCTCTGGATTTTCTCCAAAATACATCTCTCGCTTTTCCTCCAAGTGACTATCTAAGTTCCGCGATGCTAATTTCTATTTAATTCGATTTAATTTGATTTGATTTATTAAATAGGCGTGGCTTATTTTCTGAGACTCCGACTAGCCGATACGTATACGTGATTTCGGTTATGTGTTTACGGTGGGGGAGCGCGACCCTTCTCCAGAAGTATAACTACTTTTATATAGCCATTTGGTCATCTTTGCGGACAGAGTATCAGTACCTAGAATACCAATTTAAATACTATGGTGAAATCCAAACCACTGCTGCCATTCTGGAAATTTTAGTATACACTTTGAAAATTTCTAATTTTATTTTTTAAATGTTATATACTATTGTTCAAAAGTGTTGAATTACAGTTATAATTTGCATGCTCGATGTTGTATGATATCAATAACGAAATTGTAATAGCGAAACTAGCTATGATATTCTCGCGAGATTTTATAACTGTAAAATTACTGATTAACGCTAAGTAACAACCAAAATAGATGTATTTTCTTGTATAAAAAAGAATCAGTTTGATGATTTTTTTAATTATGTACATAATTAGTTATGATATTAATGAAATATTCCAACTACTTCATTTTCTGAATAATTAGTCATTATGTAAAAGCAAACATGAGAATTGCAGATTCTAATGATTGAACAAAAATTTTCAATTAATTTGTAAATAATTTTTTATAGTTACCGAAGAAAAACTGTTTGAATTTTACTTCTGAAGGTAAATAGTTTTTTATACTTACAGAAAAGAAAAATGTTTCAGGACGCTAATTAAGTTTTTAACTAACATACTATTATATTCCCACCTTTATGTTCCTTTGATATTCATATCATTTCATTCGTGATGAAAATGCCATTCCAGCTACTAGTATTAAGCTATCAATGCATAAGTTAGTAGCACTATAGTTGAAATATAGATTTAATCCAATTCTGAAAATCGAATAAAGAAAGAAGCAACGTTCTAATAATTCATATTTTCCGAGTCCTTATAGATCATATTATAAAATCGCTTTTATTTTTATTGTAGTATATCGTCTTACTTTAGAATTTACCGCTCTTTCCGAAATCGGGGTCAAAATTTGGGGTTCGTATTTGAAGAAATAAAGTTGACTTTTAAATGACCTTGAAGATCATCATTAAGATCAAAGGCAAGATCATTACTCCAAATCTTTCTTGAACATGAGTAATTTTTATTTGAAACGATAATAGTGAAATCTTACTTTCGTTGAATTAATTGGGCAAAAAAGAAAATTGACCTTCATATGACCTTAGGGGTCACCTGTTCTTAACATATGTTACCACATCTGAACGTAGAATTTCCCGCTTTTTCCGAATACGTGGTCAAAAGTAGGGGTTCCTATTTGAAAAAAACACCCTGTATAGAAAATTATGTCTTACAACTGATATTATATGATTTATTGTTTTCGAAATTTGTTGATGATTTTTCAATACAGAACTTCGAATGACCAAAATTAAAAATTTCACTGATAAATATTTTTTAATCGTGAGTCAGTTATATCTTATGTAAAATCATGGGCATATTTGAAGCATATTGAATTTTCAATTTCGCCAATAAAAGTTTTGATTTATATTAGTGTACATTAAAATGAATGCAAAAAACAAAGACAAAAAAGATGATCGTGCGATACGTGTTACACATCACTAGTTGTATCTGATCTTACGGAACTTCTTTTTTTCAGTTCCTTTCTTCAAGTGTCCAAATAATATTTAGAGTATGTTCGGTGCGATAATTTGAAATGATAACAAATAAAAATAAATTAGGCATAAAATAAAATAACCATGGTATCACTTACTGACGGTCATGTATGAATACATTTCATAAATGAAGAAAATATACCAATAACTAATATGTTAATTGTCATTTGATTAAAGCAAAAGAGTCACACAGTATAACAATTTTTATTGATTATAACATTGGAAATATTAAGAATATAATTTTCAATGAAGTTACAGTAATTCATGTTACAAATTTTGGATTATGTTTAGGTATATAGATCTACGAGTCGTGTTGATAAAAATTGATGAATTGTTACTTAACGCTCTACGTGGGTTTTCTTTTTTTATCTTTATACTCTTTGTATGTGCACACGATTGGGCCGCAGTATTTTCATTCTTTATCCTGTTTGTGTACTTAATTTTTTTTTATTTTCAAATGTTTATTCGTGTACGTCGAAAATACAAATCTAATGTATTGTTAAATGTAATGTGTGGAATTTCGTGGTGCTTGCATACGTTTCTTTTCCCTCGTAACGACTGGTCGTGATACACGAATCTGCCGCTTGTACGTAGCTAAAATCATACTTTAAATACATACTTTTTTTATTTCCATCAATTTCATTTATCTTAAGTTCACCTACGATCTATTCAACTTAAAAAATTCTTTTTCTTGTTCTCGTTCAACTAATAACGCTTCGTAAAATAGAATTCACTCGGTATCTTACATTCATTTCGACGTTCTGATAACATTCACGGAATTGATTGTCACTTAGCTCCAAAAAAAAAAATCAAAAACGAAAAGCAACATCCACATCATTGGCCTGCATCTTCAAACTACGTTCAGACAAAACACAAATCATAATTTTTTTTTCCTATTTGACTCGTTCATTTAAGTAGTAAAGTGCTTCTAGTACTCTCTACGTAATAATACTTTTCGGCAAAAAACGAAATGAAATTTCGTCGTTGTCTCGGTTACCTTGGCATTTCCTTGTATTATTGGCAGTACCGTCACTCATTCATTTGTTAAGAAAATGCTTGTTTTGTCCTTTATGTATCAATATTAATTTTCCACTTAATCCTGATCGTTCTAGTTACTTTTTTTTCATTACTGTATTACTGTACAAGCGCTCATTGGTTTTTTATTCACAGTGATCAATTTCACTCTTTTGTTTTTACTACGCGATCTACTGGGATTGCACTTTTTTTGACTTGCAGAATTCTAATAATTGTCTGCATGATAATGCTGTAAATTTCATAAAATACTGTTTTGTGTCTTTTAAAACTTTCACAGGAATTTTCTGCTAATAGTACATATAGTTGTGCGTAATGCATGTTTTCTTTATTTCGTAGCTCTTGAATTTACATGTATAATTTGTATATTTTTTTTGATGCGGCAATCGCATTGTTGAGGTGCATTACAATCAAATAAATGAAATGGTTATTCAAATTATATCCGTCTGTATTTTAATAATTGCTAACATGATATTAAAACCCAATCGTGAAAGTAGAGTTGAAGGCTACAAGGGATATGATGCAAAGTATAATTCTTTTATCGCAGCCGATATGTTTATTTTTTGTCAACTTGTAGCACAATCACATTAGCTATAATGTTTCGCAAGAAAAAACAGTTTAATTATAAAGTTCCGACGACGAGATTCCAAGCAATTTTCTGAAGTTTTACAGTTACTTGAATTTTCGGACAATATTGGCACAAATTTAAATGTTAAGATTTATTGTGGCAGTCTATAATTGCACTATTTCTTGGCATTTTAATAACGCGATAATTGTGATTCATACCTTATCAAATACGCTAGATAAATTTATAAGATATTCGCGCAAAATTTTAAAATTAATTCGCTATGGTTTGAAATTAGATAATTCTTTAAAGCATATGAGACTAGATCCACTTAAAATTGGTATTATTAGAATGACCTAATTTAATATTTTTATCGTAACAATATATTTAATCATACGAAGCTTTTAAGAAAATTTTAGATAAATAGATAAAAGGAAAACTGTATAGTCAAGAATGTACATACATTATATATATATATATATATATATATATATATATATATATATATATATATATATATATATATATATATATATAATAAATTATTGTGTGCAAATAACATTCCTTTTAATGTAACTATTTCATATCAGTTAGCAATTTCTCATTGAACTCACAGCGCTAATATAGAAATGTCAATTCGCACACAAGTCGAAGTGAAATACTCTCATTTTCGGCGAGCAATTTTTATAGACAATGGCATAGAGCACCGAACGATCCTTTAATTACATCTTATAAAAATGCGATAATTAGCTAATCTTACAGCTACGAAAGTGAAAGTGAACAATATTCTCGCTACATCATTCCAAATCAATTCGTCGCAATCACAAAGTCGTCCAGCAATCAGTGGAAAAAGTTTCTTTCTGTTATTAATTGAGAAGATCAATGGATAAGTCTCCTCGATTTACAAAAAAAAAACTAATCGGTGAAATTCGAGAAGGACGTTTACATTCTCACAAATGCGAATAAATATTATTGACATTGTCCATTAATTATTAGCTTATATACTTAGCGTTTACAATCTTATATATGTATATAAACTTTTGTGTACGACATTCCTTACGCTTGTAAATCAAATCAATCAATTCATCATCGACTAGCTCTGAATAATCGTAAAATTATGCGTATAAAATTTAGTTTCTTTCGACTACAGGAACTACTACGATCTTGTTTTGTAATTTTGCGATTACTCGGACCGAGTCATCTTATACAATATGCGCAATTGGGAAGCTTTAAGTACTAGAAAATACACTAATGGCGCTTACATCAGTGCAATATCGTTAGAAAGACACAATTGTTGTTTTATACATGTTTGTTATATGCAATAACAAAAATGCTCGATACTTGCTTCTTTTTTTTTACAGATACGGAGTAATTTAATGTTTCTGGATATCTGGTAGCACGTTGAACTTTTTACAAGGGCGTAAAATGCATTCTTTCATCGATGAATAATGTTTAATGCACGACTATTCGAGCAAACCGTTTCTCGAACGAGCGTCTGCTTTCCGCAAAATTGAGCACGAGAAAAATGAGCTTGGCAGCGCGCGACTTGCGAAATAAAATGGTCATTCTCACGCGCTTGCAGCGAATACCTTATCCATCACTCATTGATTGATGAGTCGCAACTAGATCCCTCGAAAAAACAGGAATCAAGCTGATCTAGCGACAATTGTAAGATCGATTTGGTCCATTCGTACAATGTGAAAAAAACGGCATCAAACGACAAATATGTATGCATTGATATGAGTCGAGGAAAGACGATATGCATTTGATACAACGAACGTTACGTAGAATCACGCACACGCAATGGTCGAAGCACTTCAGTCGAAGGTAAGCCTCTTGAGAAACAGATAAATTTCCTCAAAGTTCGGTCTGTCCTCGGTATGCCTGCTCCAACATTTGCTCATCATTCGGTAAAGTTCTCGCGGGCAAAGGCTCGGTTGCGTCAGAATTCGCGGGGGTGGCTGGTTGTTGTTGATGTTGCTGGTGCTGCTGCCGCTGCTGGCGTTGATGTTGATGTTGTTACTCTGGTACCAGCGACTACAGTTCTCCAGTACTTGCTCGGAAGTGAGCTCGGCGAACGGCTGCTCGCTGCACGAGGTGAAGATCTCCCACACCGTCACCGCGTACGACCACACGTCGGAGGCGTTGCTGCACTTGCCCTGCGGAATTTCATTTGACGAGTTATCGCCGGGAAACAGCGGGCTCGCGCGAGCGCTCGGTCGAAAAGAAGCAGTTACCATGAGAACGGCTTCCCAAGCCATCCACCTGAGAGGTACTTTGGCGTAATATCCATTAACGAAGTACTCGTGATCGTATTTGCTGCAGTAGAGCGCGTGATCCGACACTTTGATAATCAGATTCTTATTCACTATGCAATTCCTGCAAGTAACGAGACCATTTTCAAAGATCTATGGCTTCTCTGCGCAGCTTGAAACGAAAGCAATAATCAAGTTTAATGTTTACCTTGCAGCCAAGTCGCAGTGAGGAATTTTCAGATTCTCGAGGTACTTCATGCCCGAGGCAATCTGCGTGATGAAATTAAGAAGACAGCCGTAACTGCAAAATCAAGGGCGTGCGTCGGGGATAGTGATTAAACAGCGGAGTGTTTGCTCTGCGCGAGGCCAGTCGCCGGACTACCTACCTGAGAGTGAAGTCGCCGTTCCCGTTTTCCCCGCTGCTCTTCATGAAGGTTGGCAGGTCACCAAGCTCGCCGTATTCAAATACAGCTCCCATCGGCTCCTCTTCGACCAACGCGATTATGCGCGCCACGTTCACGTCGCGTATCGCCGCCAAGAGGTGCATGTCCTTCATGAAGTCCTTCCTGCTCGAGCGCAAAGTGTTGGATTATATTTCGCGCTCGCGATTTCTAAACGAGCTCTGATCACTCACTTGAGAGAATCCGTGACGCCTCTCCAGAGCGATCTGACGATAACTATCTGCCGATTGCGTATGGTACCCATCTCGGGACTTTGAATGCCTTTAGCTTCGCACAAGTAAACCAGGCCGAAGCTGCCTTCGCCGAACTTATCGAGGATCCTCAGTCGGTGCCTCGATATTTGTTGGATATTGTAGATGCTTGACGTGTTCGACAACTGGGCACTTTCTTGAATTTGTAGCGGCGTGAATAGACTCGACGTGCTGTGCTGCTCTCGACGTTTGATCTAAACATAACATTGAGGTTCAACTTTTGATCTGGCTTACTGATTTTCGCGTTGACTACCGTTAGAATGTCCGTGGCGGCATAGTAACCCTCGTGAACCTTGTGGTTGGACTTGGACGTGGTTAGTCCGTGACGCTTTGCCGACGAAAATGAAGTTGGCGTTATTCTTTCACTGGATTTCTCTTCCTGATAGCTGTGCTCGCTGAAGTCCGTTACACCTGTTGACAAATTAAACAAGCCTTACATATCACGATGCGTATAAGCACGTGCCTATAACAACCGTCAGGGTGGACGGAGTGGAATTGACAATATTGCTGAGGTAAAATTAGAACAGCTTTATGCAACGCTGAAATAATCTCATTGGACTCACCACTACAAGTAGAAAATCTCTCGCTCTTGTGCGTCGGCGCCGGTTCGTACGCCAAATTCTCCTCGGAAAACAACTTGTAAGTCCTCTCGTAAGCGCTGCACTGCTCGTACTCGCTGCCGTTGTCACTTCTGGCGCTACCGCCGAGCGTACCAAGACCATCGTCCACGAGTGCCGATGCGAGATTTTTACTTTTGATCGACAGTCGCGACTGCGACAAACCGTTCATCACCATCGGCGTTGCCAGCTTGATGTCTTTCATGTTGATGGTTATACCGGGTGCATTCGGGCCACACAGTAGCGCCGTGTGCTTCTGCAGCAGTGCCACTTTGTTACGACCACGTTGCTTCATTAGGAAGATCGTGCAGCTTAGCAGCAGGGCGATTACTGTCAGGGCTCCGCTTACCTGGAAAGTCAGTTGGATATGTCGTTGTGCTCGAGTCGCGCGGTAAAGCGCTCAAGTTATTTTGAACTAGAACAAAAGTTGGCCACACATTCAGAGCAAAGAAGGCAAATCGTGCAACTCACCAGTCCGATGTACGTCTGCGAGTTACCAATTGGAAAGGCATCTGGCGTCAAGTTTGGATTCGGCGGATAGGTTGTCTCGTTAAATTCGCTTTTCGGTAGGATTTGTTCAGGCACGTCAGTCTCATTGCGCTCGAGCACGAGAATTTGCTCGGGTGTCAAGTCATTCGTAAGATTTCGCAAGCCTGGAACTGCATTAACGACCGGCATTGCAAAATCAAGAGGAGAAATATGATATTTGACATAACGAGGTAAAAAAAGAAGTGAACGTACCTGACTCGAAAACAACCTCGCTTATTAGTAACCACTTGGCTCTCGGCTTGATTTCCAGCTTAACGAAGCGTCCCGTTTTTAATTGGAGAGGTATCGTGACCATGCCGGCGTTCGATTTGAAGTCGTTAGGTATCTCGATTTTGTCCGTTGCCTCGTACTCCTTGCCGTCGTACGAGAACGATGCTTGTATCGACGAGAACACCTTGACAGCGAGATTTCAGCATTCAACGTTGAAGCGAAAAACAATCGACCTCTCGATTGAAAAAACGCTCACCTCCACATCGCGTCTCGGCACGTTAGCCACGTGCACGCTGCAGTTGTCGAACTCTCGCACTTCTTTGAACTCGAACACGAGTTCGATGAGTCTTCTGTGACTCCAACCAAGCCAACTGCTACCACTCGACGAGGCGAATATTTCCGTAGCGTCGCCCAATATGTTGTCCGTCAGTTGACCCAATCCACCGGACATCGTACCGTTCGCCACATTACCGTCGTAAGATGAATCTTCAACATTACAACCACCTGGTCCGTATGACTCGCCCATTGGAATTGTGTACCTTGCTACCCTTTCTGCAAAAATGGCACGTTTGTTGATCAATTTATTCTATTGCTAAGTCGATTGCGATGTCAGTACTCTGCATTCCCAATCCAGTCATCATATACATCGATTATTTTAAAGAATGGGAAAATAATTTATCAGGTAAGGAGACGAATTCAGTTTGTCGAGGAATAAAATTTTGAATTATATTTGAATAACTGATGAGGAGCTGATCGATCATATTGACGAAAAGTTGGGTTTCTCTCGAGTATTCAAGAGAACTACTATATAATTTATTCAGTTTCCATTCCGGTTGGAAAAATAATGGCCTTAAAATTCAGCGCAGCAAGAAAGGAAAATTGCAAGCATTGTGTTAAGTTGGAGCGAGCATACTTTTATGACACAAAGTATAAAAGAAATCTTCAGAAAAAGAAAGTTTTCAATAAAAACAAGTTCGGGAGTGGCCTGTAAGAGACCGAGAGAGTAGGCAATGGCTTATATACTCTCGATTGTGTAGAAAGTTTAGCTTTCGGTAGCGAAGGAAATGCTTTCAAGCCTGATTGATTCCCCTGTCCCCCAGCCCCTCTCGTTGCGTACTAAAATCGACGAGAAAAAGAATCACATGTAGCGAGATTAAAGAGGAGTAGAGCACATGTACAGCCCGAAAAACTTCCACGGAAATAAGGTATTGAAAAAGCCATACGGTTAATATCGATTATTCGCGGATCACGAAGATAAAGAGGCTTGGGGAAACACACGAGCTTTATATTGTTAAATGCTCCGGGGGAAAATGAACGCTTATAAAATGCACGTCGCGGAGTCTCTTGCTCAGCCGACTGATATTGTTCGAGATCGCGCTCTCTTTGTCGTTGATTCATTTATTTTATTTTTTTTTTAAATTCGGTTCAGTAGACTGGAATATTGTTAGACTCGACGATTCGATGCAATGAGCTTATTGATCCGTTAGTTTATTAATCCTTATCGCTTCTGCAGACACACAACGAATGGAAAACGTCTGTCGCGCTATTTTTCCAATGATTCGCTTGAGTTACAAATAACGGATGCTTGAACAACTTACCGAAGTTAAATGTTCCAGCTTAGATTATTTTTATATTCTTTGTCGTTTTCTCATTAAAGACAAATAATCACCGCTAGATTTTTAATTATATCGCGAAGAGACGACCGCGCAAATTATTTTGAAATTGCAGTTTCAACCAACCACTGGAGGAAAACCGCGTCGTGTTTCCTGTATTTATTGTACACCCAGAGAAGTTTTCAGCCAAGCTTGCGCGTCAGTCCGGTAAGAAAAATTTCACGCGCGCATACGAGCTGCATAATAGCTCAAGACAGGTGCCGAGCACAGACCTCACGGCTAATTCGCTTATCCCGGAACGGTCAAGACGCGACAATAAATTGGTGGAGAGTCAAGGAAAATGAACTAGAGAAAACAAGGAGGGTTTGGGGCGGGTTGGATAATTAAAGGCGAGAGAGCGAGGTTATAGTTTATCTGCGTCACTTACGCTGCCACACGCAGCCGTAAATCTCGACCCTCATGCAGACGGTGCGTGGATGCTGACTGTAAGGAACAAAGCGCACCCTGCTCGCCACGAACGGCAGGTCGAGCTTTTGCTTTTCCACCAGGTATGTGTTGCTGTTACCACGTAATACCTGCCAAACAGAATATTCCTCTCATTTTCTCCAATTTTTACACTCGCGCCCGTTACGCCCCTATTTTTTTGCGGCGCTACTTCTCGTGTTCAGCGCGCTAATGGAAGGTTTTCTCTCTTTCTCTCTCTCTCTCTCTCTCTCACTCTTGTTTTTTTTTTCTTTGGCGGTGCTCTCGCGTGCGTGTAAGTTCAACAGAGTGTAATTTTCTTTTGCATTATGCCTCCTGGTTAATGAAAGGGATTTTTTTTCTTTGAATGACTGATTTTGCTGCAGAGAGTTGCAGCTTTACAATGGATTTTACTAATTATTGTGGATGAAGTTTTGCAAATTCTCGACGCTTTTTTGATAGCTGTTATGAAATTTGATGCAAAACTTGTGTATAAAGAGCATTTTTAATTGATGCAACATAGATTAATTGAAATCTAATTTTACGGGTGTGAAAATTTAGTGATTAGCACTTAAAATTCCTTTGACAAAATATTGATTTGCATTAACCTAATTGAAAATATAATGTGTGTTTATTCATAGTAGTGCATGTCGTTAAAGCGAATTGAAAAGAAAATTGATATAATATAACAGATAAATTGTTAGAGTGAATTGAAAAGTTAGTCGACTAATAGGAAAAGCGTATATGCACGACAACCATTAAATGGGTATTTTCAATGGTGAACCTAAACCCAACCCGATACTCGTACATGTAATAACAGCCTCATGCACCTTTATACACTGACGGCTTGGTTCGCTCAAAGGCAATTACGTTATGGCCTTGACGGCAAGAAGTTCATCTAATAAAAGTTTATCGTCGCGGCGCCTTGCGCTATCACGCGCGTCGACACAACGCAAGTATTATCTAGCAAGCACGCGTACGAAAAAGAGAATGAAATATTAAAAAGTAACGTCGGCAAAAAAGACGTCGCCTGAAAATAAGAACTCTCGAAAATTCAGTAGTCGCGTCGCACGAGACGCGGCATTAATCTTTGCACACAACACCCATACATCGCGCGAGTCAAAAGAAAATTGCAAAATAAGATATTCCGTTGATATAGGTTCAAGTCTCGCAAGGGAGGGGAGGAGGTAGAAAAAAAAGAGAGTGAGATTGTACGCGCTATTAAAGTATGAATATTGCATAGTCGAGCGTCAAATAAGGAAAGTTGCGCGGCGCGCGCCGAGAGCGAGAGGAAATTTGCCGAAGGCCCTTGGGGCTCTGTAAGTGACGACCCTTGTGTCGCTGTCTGCGTGTACACGCGCGACAAGTGTAGCAGACTCGAAAAATGCTGATGGAGTTTGCGGTAAGTGTCTTCTTGCGCGAGCGGACGACCAGCAGCTGCTCGGCAACACGATCTTTGATATATATACTGATGGGAATTTCGGCACTTATCTTTGTCAAGCGGCGACGGAGATACATTTGCTACCGTTTTAGCTCCGTCGGTGTAGACGACAAGTAAGATTTATCACGAAAATATAAACATACAAATGAAAATATTTATCAAATGCGTTGCATCCTTAATTGTTATCGTCCTCGACTTAACGAGAAAAAGCAATATTTTTCTTATTTTAAAAGGATCTATTATTCTGAACGAAATTTTTTTTTTCTGAACGAATGACGTAACATTTTTTTGCCTTTAATATTTTCCTCAAAATATAAATCTTTTTTTTTAATACCGATTTTCGAATAGAGAAGGTTCTCTATTCGACCTGAATTTTTTAATGTATGTTCGCGCATATCTCCGGAACGGTTCAATGGATTTCAATGGAGACGAGCTATTTCCAGAATGGTCCCATTTCATTACCAACTAGATTGAATTGTATAACTTTGCGAGTAAGTACAACGATTTTTTCAATCAAATTTTTTTTATTTAATTTTATTTTGAGAATAGATATTGAGTTAAAATATTAAAGAAATTTGCTAAAAAAGTATAAAAATATTTATTTTTTGTTTAAAAGCACTTCTAGATTCTTTACTACTAGTTTTTATTCTAGTTGCACTAATAGTTTTTATTTTTGTTGTACGCTATTAAAAAATTTTCATTTTAAAAATTATGCTGCTGCGTAAAATTTCATAAATTTTAATAAAACCAGAGTTAATGAATGAATTGAATAAAGAAATATGTATGTAATGGCATAATTAATAAGAGAGGAGCGACGGTGACGAAAGATGTGAAGTCGCGGTGAAAAGTAAGTGATAGGGGTCTACGTAGTGTCAGGCATAATGTATAATGCATCAGGCCGACGCTGCGTGTCTGAGTGTCAGGTTTTCCTGGTAGATTATACTTACCCTGTCGCCCCTAAGATTCTTGTAGGGATGCCACTTGAGGTCACGCCAGTACTCGAGGAAGAAGGTCTCGGCGTACTCTTGGCCCTCGCCGTTACCAAAGCGGCCTTGTGTCTCCGTCCACGTTATTAGATGATCCTTCGTTAAGTCTACCTCGAGGTACTCACGGATGTCGCTGCTTATCTGCGCCTTCGGACACCACGCGCCGCCGTTCTTCTCCTGTCGTATCCTATATATACAACGACAAACACAAGCTTGCTCTCTCTCTTTCTTTCGTTTTTTTTTCCTTCTTCCGCCGCGCTCCAAGTTTTTTTTACGTCGTAGCCAAAGTTAGCCCCTTGCTTCCAGCTAGTTTCAGAGAAAGCTCGGCTCTCTCTTCTTTTTATTTTTTTTGTTTTTTTTAATGCGCGCACCGCACTGCGTTTATTTCGAGCGTTGTTTCGTTAAATGTTTCAGAGTTTATGCTCTCTGCTGTGGTTTCCTCCAACTGCCGCGCACGTCGAGAAGACAAAAAGATACAAGGCTTTTTGCCCGTGTGCTCGCGAGTTTGCCTTTGCAAAATTCATTTCGATTTTCTCTCTACTCGATTATAACATTGTTGGTATTTCAAATTTCAGAATATTCTGATTATGTATCCGGCAACAATTTCACAGAATATTACTATACGAGCACGAAATTTTAATATCGCGATCTTAGCAAGTATACGTGAATGCTGAGAAATAAACATTTTAATCTAGAGATAAAATCTTTCCTTTATTTTCAACACGTTATAAAGAGCGCTGCTCACGTAATGCTTAATAATTAGATAAACACTGGCAATTTGCCTACATCGGAATTATCTTATTTTATTTCGTCGCATAATCAATAACCGTTGCTACGTGACTCTATCATAAATACCACAAGCCAAGCCCGGTACCACATTACGTGTCCGCGCAATTCGTAATATTCATCATTGGTACTTTTAAGCACCGAAACGCGATATGTTAGTACACCCACGTACCCGTTAGCGAGTATGCTAAAAACTACGCGAACACGTCGTAAAGTTAAAAGAGACGCGAAATTTTTATGAACGTAGAAACACGGGGTAGTGGAGGGCAAAAAGTTAGCCACCACTTGTGAACATTTGAGCGAATACACAAGCGAACGGAAAAAATGGCTCACGGAGAGAAAGAGCGCCTTGACTTCCGATAACACGCCGAGGCAATCGTCGTAACGACGGGCGTTGCCAACCTATATATCTGTATACCTTGCATTCTGTGGCCCAACGGACTTGCTCTCGTAGCTGGAGGAAGCGCTGATGGCGTCGTCCGGAATTTTTCCCTCTTCCATTCCGAGCGGCAGCATACAATGGGCTGCGGCAGAGCAAAAAGGAACATTGACCGTTATCCAATTACCTCGACTTTTGGAATCAACCGCGAAGATGCAGTGCGCGCGCACAGCAACAAAGATACCATGCTATAATCACGTTTCGGCCAGGCTTTTCTTAGCCGCAGAGCGGCATTATTGACCCTTTGTTGGATTATGCTAATGGTTTCGCGCGATCTTTCTCTCTCTCTCTCTCTCTCTCTCTTCATATCCGCGCGATGGATAAATGAATGCCAGCGTATTGCGCGTGCTTATGGCGATTGTTATACTTATTTTCTTTTGCAAATAAGGCGCGTATTAACCTAAGGTTTTTTTAATTAAACTGTATTCTTTTTTAATTTCTATTCATCAGAGAGGATTTTCTTTACGCTGTGTATATGCTTACTTATTGAGATACTTTATGTTTTTTTTTGCACACCGTTTGTTTTGGAAACACTTTGTTCAATTTTGACGTCATAAAACAATGTACCGCATATAACGTAAACTAAGATTGCGATGCTGGTAAAAACTAAAACTGCTCATTCACAAGTATAACTTGTTTACAAACTAACTTTCTACCGATACAAGATTATCAGCGTTATATTTGAAAAACTTTTGAGAAATTGAGACTTTCTATAAATTTTACGATTTATACAGTTTTCTATTTCATAGCCAACAAATTATTGGTAAAAATGCTTAATAATTAAATGTCTTTCAAATGGATCGTTTATCTTTATATAATTTGATGAAAATGTAAGGATTAAGCTCTCACCTAACACAAAACACAATACATTTCAATTATCTCGTTTTTCTGATAAAATGAATTATTAATTAATTAAAGCTCCCGAGAGAAAAAATATTCCGCCCAAAGTTTTCTCGTACTGACGAAATTAACAGCATGCAAATCGTAACTTGAAAGTAAACTTCAACTCAGGACTAAAGTCTGTTTTAACTTCTCAAGCAACAGCAAAACGAAAAAAAATATGGCACGTTATAAAATTGCGAAAAAGGTTCTCGTACTCGGCAAACAGTGCGGGAGAAGAGAAACCGTTTGACGTTATAACTGACCTACAAAGAGCGCGTTCACTTTATAAAAACGTTTTCGTTTGTTGAGTTGGGAGAAGAAAACAAAAGGAAAAAAAATGACGCCCAAGGACACGGCACTACCTTGTTAACGCGAGAGAGCAGACTAACTTTCGGCTGGCCAGCTTAATTTTCGAGCTTAGTGCGCTTATGATTTGACGTGCTTGGCGAGCGTTAATTATATATATTAAAATAGTTTCGCTGTGTCGAACGAGATACGATTCGACGGCGTCACCAAGTAGAAAGAGTAAGCATTATGTCAGACAATCAGAGCGAGAAATCGAATTGAGCTAAAAGGGTCAACGTGCGTAGAGACGTGTAACCAAATGTACTTACCAAACAGATGTCTACTCTCATCTTCGGCGCAGAGAGCCGACGCGATAAGGACGGCTCCTATCAGTAAAACTACCTGTTCCATGATTTGTCACGGGTTATCCTATAACTCTGCCACCCCGCCTCTCGTCTCGTATGTTTCATGATAGGCCCGTCAGTGTTTGCTTCATTTTAATCTGCAACAGACAGCAAAAAACGCGCCTCCTTTCAATAACCAGCTGCGAAATGTTTGGATGTATGAATGAGGAATCTCAATGTCCCCGCGACTCCGGCGTGAACGGATGACGGCAGAGCGATATTTGACCGTTGTCGACCCACACGATGTTGGCTGCCTGCTGCGTTATAATCGACGCTTTAATTAGGCGCGGTGTGTGACGAGCCCGTATCCTCGAATTTGCATCAACTGTAGATCAAAATTACTGAGCTACAGCGACGCTTCTCGTATTTTGCCTCGGACCTTGTTTTTTTCCGACGTTTTATTTGTTCGCGCAATCGAATGGCGATCGCTAATTATTTTCATGTAGACATTTTCACTAAATGTTCTTCTTTTCATCCGCAAAACGATTGTCAAGCTTTACACACATTTCCATTTGTGAATTAACTGGAGTAACTTGCAAATAGTATTTGAGCGAGACGCCCAAAAAGAGATCTAGATCATGTTAGAAGCCGTACGACTTATTTTATCGAACCGTTAAATGGCTTTCAAGTGGTGCATAAAGAAGTACCAAAGTCAATAGCCTGGTTCGATAAAATAAACTCAAACAGAGAAGCTAGATAGTAATTCATAATTGATACGGCTGCTGCTCGGATAACGTCCTTGTTGATCGGAAGAGGGGCCGGAATTCCCGCCGGCGAAAGTCCTTATCTCAAGAGACAGAGAGAGACCGAATCCTCTAGATGGGAGTAATTAAAAATGTTTTGCTGATGAATTCAAGATCAAATGGGTTCCCGCGCGCGCAGCGATGAAAGATACCCCCCCCCCCCCCTCTCTTTCACCAGGCTACGTCAATAATTTATAGATTCAAAAGTCTCATCAGTATTTCCCTATCTCGTCTGCTTAATCGCCGCTAATATTTTATATTGCTTTCAACGAAATTTCCATTACTTCCAGGACGTTATAAAATCATCTTCGACTGAATGAATTTCACGCGAGTTTTTCAGAATAATACACACTGACTAATCTTATTAATTAAACAATGATCTTTTCGTTATTAACTTCTATCTCTAATAAAAAAACTGTTGTAATTCTTCGATTTTATTTTGTATCAATTAAAAATAGACGTTTAATTTACTCTAATTTGTTTACCTGAGTAAAAATTCGTCGATAATTATTATCACGGAACAAAGCGATTATATTTTTACATTTTTTAAAGATTTTATACAAAATTATTTTTCCTGTTGTCACTCGTAAGAGAGAAAAATGACAGCTCAAAAAAAAAAATTGTTTAAGCAAGATGCCGTTTTTCACGAGCAAAAAGATAAAGTACCCGCGGAAACTCTACAACTCGTTCGGGTAAAAGTTGATAATTCTGTTTTGCAGTGCGAACGATCGTGCCGCTAATTAATATACACACATATTTTAAAGCAGAGCAGAGGAAAATTGAATATTTATAGCCGCATGTGCAAACACGCAAGCGGCCGAATTAGTTGGATCGATTGAATTACGGACGCCAATGGCGGGGGAAGGGGGCGGGAAGGTCGCAGTCGGAAGCGCGTGGCTTTTCAACAGGAACTGATTCGATCGAGTGCATTTGTTTGCGCTTAGAGCGCGGTTTCGCCAATAATTTATAATGCCCGTTGTACTTCTCCGTTGATTCATAATCTTTGTTTGCTAATTGTTTGCTGAGAATTTGATTTCGGGTATAATCGCTGGCTGTTGGCTTTGCGCGTTCTCTAACTGCTAGTTTACTGTCGATATTAGATGAATGTTGGATGTTGAATTTACAGTTCTAAATTGAACAAAACTCTTGTGTAATTAAATAAGATTTGACTCAACAGTCGTGACTCAACAGTCGAAAAGTTGTGTTGCTCGAAGAAAGTTATACGACAGCCGCATCTACTGGAGAATCAAAGGAAAAAGGGAATAACTCTAGTCAGCAAAATACTCCGATCCGTGGGGCATACAATCGTTCGCTGCTTTTTCTCGAGTTTTCGCATTAGTAAGATTTATTCAGGTATCGCGATATTTCATAATCTATCCGACCGTGCATTTCCATATTCATGGGGGTTGGAGGGGGGGGGGGGGGGTGAAGGAAGAGAAAAAAAAATCGCAAGCGCTTGAACCGCGCGTTATCTACAGATGGACCGGCAGCCCGCATTTGCATGGATAATGGTTCAAAACAGCTGGGCTTGTTTTTTTTAAGGCAGAGGGTTGCTCCTTGGCTTCTAAACAGCTGTCGTTTCAACAATTTTTTTCGTTCTGCTTGCGATTTGAATCTTCAATAGCCTTCGTCTTACAAGCTTTATGTGAGTAGAATCGAGGCTACGTTGGAATTTTTCTATAAGCCGAAATTTTTATTTGTGGATGTTGAATATGGTTGTTATAGAAATAATCTTGTTGTTAATATCATTCATAGAATCACTATTAGGCGACATACTAATAATCATTTTTATAGGTATTGCGCGTTACGCTGTATATTCTCTGATAATTGTCTTTTTATGTGAAATTAAACATTGAATGTTAGGAGAATCCACATGATTTTTTAAGTTGAATAGTTTAATTAAAAATGATGAATCAAACTACTGAGCCACGTCTTATGTTAGGTCATTATGTTTCTATCGGTAGCCTTGAGTTAGACATCTACTCGGGAAAGTTTTGAAACGTATTCATCCATTCTCCAATATTTTTAAATCGCCTCGAGCTTTCTTCGGAACTGATGCTTTTTAATTCTAAAAAACTGGTAGAATTATATGGTTTGTGACCCTTCCTCGATAGTCCTTCCAGTCAAAGAGAATCAAAAAAATATTCTCGACTGATGGTTCGAGCGGTAAAACAGCACATCCCGTGTACACGAGACTACTTTTAGACGGTCGATGTGGTTCTGTGTCTCCGAAGCTGTAACACCACCTCATTCAGACGATGTGTGGAAAACGAATATATGCAACACGATAGTATAGCATCGATGACAACAAACAAGCTTAGTTCAATTGCAATTAGCAGCTTGCCCGAAAAAAACAATTTGGTGCCATCAATGCTCAATACTTGAAAATAATTTGAATTTAAAAATTTATGGGTGGCGAATTAATGTCCGGACAGTGTTCGTAAAAGTAGCCGTATTTTGTCTACTATATTTACTAGTAGCTTAATGTATTATTAGCAAAAGTAAAATGGTAAGTTTTTCTTTATGCTAAATATTAAAACAAGTTTTCAATTTCACTCCAACGTATATAATTGTTGTTTGGCAATGAAAATTTATAAGAAATTTATGGCTCTCGGAAAGCTCTTATTCATTTAACTAGTAGAATACTTACACATACACTTTCATGAGAAAACGAAGAAAATTATTAAACGAAAGTTTTTTAACCTTTCAAATGAGTTCTATTTGTTAATATGAACATAATTTGATTGCTGATGTTACAATTCAGAGTTTTACGTAATTACACTAATGTTATGATAATATGACTCATATTTTTTTATCAATTTCAATAAGTTTAAATGGTAAATAATTTGATGTGATCAAATGTTTGTAACTATAAATACCTTTAGGTATATACCTAAATATATTATGTTATATATAAACGTAAATATGTAATTTACGTTTATATATAAACGTTTGCAAGTTGAAATTTATGTTTCTGATCTGATTATGTTTTCAACTTTAAAATATAAAATATATTGTGAAAGTTAAAATTGAAAGTTTAACTTCAGATATCTGTTGAAGTAACCATAAACTTTCACTTGTTTTTATAGCTTTGTAATAAGCAAATGTAGCCAATGATTTTAAGTAATTACTTTAAGCAAAGCTTTGCAGGCATCATGCATTGGAATCAATAAAAAAGAGTAGACTTTTTGAAATTACATCTGTTTTATATCTATCTAAGACAACTTGGAGAATTATAAAATTTTAATTACTATGGTCATATAGATTTTGTTAGATAAAATTGCTAAATCGTCGTGAGAAGTTTATACATATGAAATGCTATGGCTATCATTGAGCTTATAATTAATGCTAATGTCATTTTAATTTTTTTATATAAGAAGTATTTAAAATTATTGGCATTGTTGCCTGCATAAACTATGAAAATGTAAGTGCAGAACTGTCCAACTTTTTTCTTTAAGATAAAATTAATACGAGAAAGTATCCACTGTAAGACTAAAAGAAAAATAAAGTTTATTCTCTCTCTCTCACTTTCTCTCTTGAAGGAAACAAAATAAGTATACCATGTACTATAGAAGTCCAAGAAGATAACAATTTTTTAAAATAAGTTCTGTCCTCAAAGCAATTTATTAAAAATTTTGCAATTCCAAATTGCCATATCTAAAAAAATCTCAATATTCTCAATGTGCTCAAAAGGACAATGTAACTTCCGTAAGTCAAAAATCGCATAAACACGTAATACAAGCGCACGAACGCGCACGGAAATCAAATTTGTTTCGCTAATCGAAAATAGGGTGAACCCAACTATCAAAAGCCTTCAAGCGAAATCCATGTGTTCCTATAACGAAACGATCATGCCCGACGCCCGCTTTGCTTTCTACGTCACGTGCGCTATATACTGCGCATAGCGTAGTGCAGGCACCCTCGGATTTCCATACAACATAGCGTTTCGCGTCGTAATGGCCAAGTCGGGCATCGTTAAATAACCGTCCGCTCGATTGCCGATAACAAGCGCCGAATTTCCGGCACCGACTCCATAAACCTCTCTCTCTCTCTCTCCCTCTCTTCGCTTACGTATGCGCGTCTCGAGTCCCGCGCTTTATTACCGCTACACAACAGATGGCGTTTATGCTACTGAAAAAGCTTAATTACATTCCGCGCGAGCCCCAAGGCTGCGAATTCATCACTGCGAGAGCGAGAAAAAGTCTGCTGGGAATACGATAAAGCACGGATAAATTTCGCTGTCACCATTAGCAATGGAGGTGAAGAAATCGAACAACGTACGAAGCTTCGACGAAAGTTTTGAGGATGAGCGGCGGTGGTTCATAGCGATTCTTGCGCTTATTGGCGAATTTTCG